TAAGCCACATTATTGGCTGAAATGTAAAGTAGAAATTGTCATCTGAATGTCAGAAATTTCCTAGCAGATATTATCCAGCAGACGAAGGATAATATCCAACAGACGTTTACGTCACACGACCTCCTTTTGAAAGGAGGCGATTACTTCTGTGAGTAATTCGGTGTGATATGACCGATCTTCTTGCACGGTGACATTGCGTCGTTTTTTCCCAGTCGGAAGAAGTCGAGAAGGTGTTTCCGGTTGTTAATCCGTGGTCAAACCGGAGCGCCGACCCGATGGTCTCGTCTAGGTTGGTAGGATGGTGTTCCTTGAGATAGTGACCCGTCTCTTTGCGGATCCCTTGCTGGAAATAAAAACGCAGCTCTAATGGCGAAATTGGAGTTTGACATTGCACCAAAATGTTTTGGAATTCTCCCACGTAGTCGTGGATTGGTCCAGTTTGTGTGAGTTTGCACAACTTTCACATAGCATGTACTCATTGTTCGGGGGTAGGAAACGCTTGCGTAACGCCGTCTTGAAGGCCGCCCACGTGCGTACCGTGCCTGCCTGGTCACATTCTGCCACAAATTGGCGATACCAATTCATGGGAGTTGGTGCCAAGTGACAGGACACCATGGTAACAAATCGGGCTGATTCTTCGGCCGTCATCGTGCAGTAATCAGTATAGTACTGCTTAATAGTAAAGAACCAGAGTTCCAAATATTCGTCCAGCAAGCCGTGGTACAGCGGTGGCTCGGCTTTTCGAGCTGCTGGTGGCTTGGCGGCGAGCGTGGCGAAGCGTGCGTTTTGAACCACTAATTGCTCTTGAATATGGGATTGAAATTGCGCTTGTTGCTGCGCTAGAAGTTGTAGAATGTCGCCCATTGTCTGTAGCGTCGCTGATTGTTCCATATTGCACGATGGCTTGACTTGACTTGAATATGCGGTCTTCGTGCACGATGGCATTAAGTTAACTGCGACAAGTGCTACTATGTAAGGAAGCGTCTTGTGTAGCTCGATGGCAAAAGAAAAGTGAGCTTTATTGATAACTTAGAGTCCTAACTGCGAACTTGTATTTCTAACCGCAACCTTGCAGTTCGAAATTCAAGTTCCAATCTTAAGATTTCTAAGCCACATTATTGGCTGAAATGTAAAGTAGAAATTGTCATCTGAATGTCAGAAATTTCCTAGCAGATATTATCCAGCAGACGAAGGATAATATTCAACAGACGTTTACGTCACAGAATACCTTTTGAATATGCTATCGCGAGACGATCACTACTCGACTCACAAAGTTGATTCTTCTCAACAACTTACGCATCTTTTTTAGCTCTCCGGGAAGCTGTCACTATTTTTAAGGAAAACTCGGATGTCGTACTTATGGTCTGCACTTATAAGACAAATGCGTTCGATATGCCACTTTTGAACATGATTGGTGTGACGGGTATGAACACTACGATTCATTTAGCGTAGAGTTTCATCCGTACTGAGACTAGTGGCGACTACACGTGGGCGCTCACTGAATTGAAAAGGGTTATGGACCTTGAGAAGATTTCGTATCCTCAGGTGATTATAACAGACTGTGATTTCGCTTTGATGAATGCGTTGGAAACTGTTTTTCACGGAGTTCCTGTTTTATTGTGTGTTTAGCATATACTCATGGATGTTAGAAAACATGCTCGCGAAACTCAAAAAGATGACACTCGTACAGCAAGTACTCAAACTCAGCGTTTTGTGAATTTAGAAATACCCGAGCCGACACTACACAGCACAAGACTTCTAATACCAAAAATGAGGCCGATCGCCTCAAGCCAATTGGCATTGATGACGTTCGATTCGAAAATCAAGTAGGTGCAGTCTACAATATCTCATCCTCAAAAAACCAATCTAAAAAAACGGAGGAAGGCCAAAGTTGAAGATTCAGTTAAGATCGACAAATTTTGTGAAACCTTTCGCCTACTTACTCATGCATCAACAGCAGATGAATACGAAATATTTCATCAACAACTGCATCAACAATGGCCAAGAGAAGCACAGTATATAGACAGGGTGTGGTTAGACATGTGGAAGATGTGTTTCGTGCGTTGCTGGATCGACCGTCATGTTCACTTCGATATATATGCAACATCACGCGTTGAGGGTTACCACGCAGCCCTTAAGGGTTGGCTATTATCCAGAGGTGACTTACTACAAAATTATCACGCAATGAAATTGTGGTGGCGAAATTCCATTAAAGATCATCGAGATGCTGTATCGGATGAAAGTGTCAGGGTTCCTAAAACTTTACGTGGACATCTGTTTGCTGACGTCGTTAAAATCATACATTGCTACCCTTTACTCAGATGCTTGAAGATTCTTACTTGGCCCGTCACGAACGTATGCAGCAAAGTTTTCACCCATGCGACAGGGTCGCCGTGCCCTTACCGCCTTCTACAGCTTCAACAGGAGGGGAAGTCTCTACAAAAATCCGACTTTCACGCTCATTGGATGATTGACAGATTTACAGGGCCTGAACCACCTCGTGCTATGGTATTTGAGCCTGACATTAAAACACGACGCGCAAACAACAAAAAAATATAAGAAATCACACATGAAAGGACTTGGAATCTCTGGAACACGAAGACTTTTGTCATCCTTCGAACGATCGGAGGCAACAGCGTCCAGAATTTCACTAGACCACAGCAGCTCACTTACAGCTCCTGTATTCATAGGTCCAAGGCCTGGTGCAGTACTCGAACATTTACATCATCGTGGCGTTGATGCTGAAGAAAAGATAGTTAATCAATACAGCTCTTAAGTGGGTTACGTGAAGATGACAGTCGACGTCACCTGTAGAGGCTAGAGATAAGGTATGCGAACTTAAAAAAATAATATTCTATGGTAATCTATTTATATCTACTGTTACCAATTCGTGTGCCATGTTTTTGGTACTGTATGGGGTTAGCATTTTTGTCTAGTGGCTCTAGTAGGCAAGAACTTTTTTCAGAAAAAGTGTTTTATGACAATGACTGTGAAGCACTCTCATGATGTAGCTTTCTAACCTGACATCAGCAGATTTCTTATTCATAGACTAGAGTCATAGGCCCTGATGTACACACTGTGTGGCATGCTTACGGTGCTGCAGAAGCAAATGCCACACCGTCATCGCGTACGCTGCACTCATCGACAGATCGTAAGAAGACAAACCTTGAACGCGGTGGCATGAACGCTAGTGATCTGTCGCCTTTGGTTGGCACTAAAGCGTGCTCTATGATTTCATACGCTACGATAGTCTAGTTCGGAGTATTACCTACCTACATCTTTTTTTTTCTAATATTACTGAGCAGCACTGCTGCATGAGGTCTGCCCTTGCCTGTAGCTGTTATTCAAACCATGGCAATGGAAAGCCTCAACACCACTGTAACGCATTCGCAGAGAAAGCTGGCGGACTGCATCGATTCTACAAACGCTAACGAATTGGCGCCAATTCATCTCGTGCTGCATCTTTTGCCTCACTCGTCACCATCGTGTCGTGTGAACCGATCAGGCCCAGCCACGCATTCGTGAAAGCAGTCATAATATGACTGCTTATGACTGTCATATATCTATGTATGGACAAGTTGAAAAGTTACAACTTACCGGTATTGTAAAATTTACATTTAATGTACATATAGTTGATCAGCTTGAACATTATGTAGGGTTTCCGGTGGTCTATTAACTTGGCCTGCAACTATTTTACGTTCGGTATCGTGACATTGAAGCAGGCCGGCCGATAAACAAGCACATAAGAACTGAACGAGCACGGAATTGCCAGTCAGTGGCAACCCCATTGAATCGATTACCGATGTGATCAAACTCCCTGTCCAGCATAGTATGCGATGTGACAGGTTTTTGGTCGTTTCACATGGCGTTAGTCACGCGCAACGTTGAAGCGACTTGGTCTCACCAAAGGCTGCCAACAGCGGGGCCCGCTATGACCTGTCAGCCCGGCTGACTCAGCCGGCGGTGCCGCCGCTGAAAGGCGGCGTTGCTCATACGTGCACAGCACTACAGTAGCAGGCATTGCTAGCATCTACGGTGTGGGCTACGCCACACAAAGTTTGTGTCACAAACGACTCCGACGTAGACGTGCCATCCCATGCAATGGCAGAGCGTGTGACTTTTCGCCTTTCGATAAATGGCCGGCGCGATCCGGATACCATGAAAACGGCCGCACTGACTGCATCGAGAGCGCCAAAGGTGTGAGCATCGTTGACTCTAGCCGTGTGGAGACTCTCAACTTGAGAGCTGTATGCAATGGCTGCGAGATCTTCGTTCGCTGCCGAGGCCTGAGTTAGGCTATCGTGATTAGCGCTGGAGTCCGCCGCCCGAGTCAGCCGCGATCTGGGCTCGGAGGGAAGCACGCCAAGGCCGTCAGCTGCGCCCCGAGGCGGCAAAGATGAGCGTTGAATCTATCGCGGCAGCCATCAGTACAAGTTTGTAAACCGCCGCCATGCAAACTTGCTGCCATCACCTGGCCGCTACGTGCAGTGGCTGTCCACTACTAGTGGCTGAGGCTTCCGACAGAGTTGTTGTCCGCTGCAGCGGCGAAGGCTGACGCGGGTCAGCGTGACGTGCAGGCAGGAGGGACTCGCAGCATTTTGACGTGCTTGTTCGCCTCGCGCGGCCTGAGTTTTTCCAGCATTTTACTGATTTCGGGAATATTTTACGCAGCCGCCTTGGTCCCACTTTCAAAAAGCATAGTGAAATCAAGTCATTCTGACGTCCTTTTTGACGGACGGCACACGCCCGTAAAAGTCATGGTGTCACTTCCTAAAATAAGATTTAAAATCAGTGAATCCTATTAGTACTTGATATTTGTAATCTCATACCCAAAGATCGCAAACATTAATCCTCCTCTGTCTGCCCACTAATCCTTCACCTCCCATCGGTCATACGACATGCCCAATCGAAGGCCGACAGACGCCTCTCGAGAACCCTTCCTTGACTTGCACGCACAAGCGAAAACGCTGCGCCGAAGCCGCGACGAAAGCAAGCGAACGCCGCCAGAACCGGGTGAATAAGATCCGCTCCTGCCTTCGGTCCGCCCGCTGTCGTTGATCCGTGACAGACACCTCGATCTGCTACGGTGTCCGCAGAGCCATTGACGACCGCGTCGCTCTCTCTCTCTCTCTCCATGCTCATGACCGAGACGTACAATCCGGCGGGCGCCACTGCCGCCTCCAACACGTCCATGGACCCGGACGCGGAGGCATTTAACGAGCGGCTGCGGCTCAAGATCCAGCCCAGTCCGCCCAAATTCCCGTACCGGGACGACCCGTTCGAACTCACGGTGTATCTCGTCGACCCGGCCGACCACCTCAAGTCTGGCGTAACCGTCCCGCTCAACGTGGAGCTCTACGCGGCGGAGAAGATGATGCCTGTGGAGAAGGACATCTTGCACATTGATCCGAGCACTAAGCCGGTCATGAACGGCGACGGTATCTGCAAACTCCGCGTGAGTATCAGCGAGTGCTCCATGGCGCTGGGCAACCGCAAGTTCGTCATCCACATCTCGGCCGCTACCACAAAGGAGAACATCAATCTGAACGTCACACCTGCCGTCACCTCCGAGATGACAGTGATCCAGCATCGCCTGCTGATCCAGGAGAAGCTGCCCGAACTCTGGTACAAGGACGAAGGAGGTCGCGACAAGTGCATGACCCTGCCTATCTTCCTCGTGAACGCCAAGAACGAGCGCGTGGGCAACCGGCCCGTACCTCTGCGTGTGACTCTCCTCTATGAGAACGAACACCCGGTACTCAAGCAGGACATCCTCAAGATGTCCCCGGACTGCCAGCGCACCATCGACTCGACCGGCAAAGCCGTACTTAAGCTGCGTATCGAAGACGTGTCCAAGAACCACCAGGGCCAAGCATTCCGTCTCAAGGTAGAAGCCGACACGGCGCAGTCTCCACTCAACTTCGACGTGGCGTACGACCTCAGTTCGTCCATCTCGGTGCGTTCAAAGCGCAACAAACGTCGGCCGGGCAAGACTACGCCGGCTCAGATCACACACCACATCATCGCTGGAGCGTCGACGCCAATGTCGACGTCGTCGTCCCCTGCTTCCAACGCGGAGCACGAGATGATGCTAGCTGGAGCGTTCGGCACCGCCGCGTTCACAGCAGACGATCGCCGCAAGAGGATGCGCACTGGAGGCAGCGCGTCGCCTGGGACCCCACGTGTAGGTGGCAGCCCACAGTCCGCCAATTCGCTGACTGGAGCCATGGAGAGCATTCTTACGTGGACGGGTGGAGTTGTGAATGGACTCCACCAATTGGAGTGGCAGACGGTGGGCTATGAAAGCAAGACGGACGGCACGGCCGACCCAGAGCGACCCATCTATCGGTGCCCTGCTTGCTGGCGCTACAAGGACGTTATGACGTATGAGACGGCCCAACACGACACGAAATGTTTGATTGCCAATCTGTTGCTAACGTACGCGACAGATACGATGGGCCACCTCGACTTCGTGCTCAAGGGAATTGAGCGGTTCCCGGCGATGATTGCCAGCGCGCAGGCTGCCGCTCAGAAGGCAGCAGTAAAGCCGATGGGACAAATGCAGGGCCAGAACGCGGGCACACCGTCACTCGTGAGTCCACAGAATGGCATGATGGGCGTAAATCCGCTGACGGACGACACGTCCTCGAACCAGCAAATGATGAGCTCAGCTATGATGATGAACTCCAGTATGGGAAGCACTGCCACCGCCAATCAATTCTCGTCTGCAATGGCAACCGCAACGTCAGGCGCTATGAGTGGGCTCACTGGGATGGAGGGTCCTCCTGGGCTCTTCCGTAACAACTCTGGTGGTCTGACGGAGTTTATGCGCTCGCTGGATGACCAGGACTCGAACGACTCGATGTTTTACCAGAACCTTGCTGGCAGTGGCAACAACAACAGCAGCGGCGGCAATAGCCAGATCGCTGATGCGATTGAGATGCAGGTGTTCTACGTGGTGGCAAGGATGGTGACGCTGAACACCAGCAATGCCATCGGTTTCCCGGCATTTGATGTCAGTATGAACTTGTTGGGATTCTACCAAGAAGGCCGCGAGAACGCTACGACTGAAGTGGTATTTGTACCTGTGGGAGACATCCCCGCCATCTCTCAAGGTGAAGTTCTGGAGACGCAGCGGTTGCTGCAAGCGGAAATGAAGAACAACAGCTCTGCGGTGCACACATTGGCACGCTGCAACAACGATTTGGTCAAGTTGAAGGAGGATGTCATCCTCTTCCACTGGAACGCCAAGGACAGGATCACCCCGAAGTGGTAAGGGAAGACTGGTGCGCTATCAATTGGCTTATATGAGCACCAAGTGACCACACGCTGAGAGGGCAAATACTCAGCACACTATATGAATCAATCTCCACGCGAAAGTGCCGACAACGTGTGCATGTCACATACACGTAATGTTTTGTAAAGAAGCGATCTCGTGCGCCGATGGAAGTCAAGATGGAACGCTAGGTGGGAGAAAGAGAAGCACCGAATGAATAGTATAAAGAAAGCTATATAAATTCGATTGAATGACATGCAGGGCCGCCCCTGTCTACCCAGTTCTTTCGCTCTAGTCTGAGCAGCGTTCAACCAAGAGTCGACGGAATCCAAGCGTCACAGGCTGCTTGGTATTGATCAGGGAGCGCATGGTCTTCTTGAACTTCTGCTTTGGAGGGAGATCTCGACCGTTAATGCTTCGAAGAACATCCCCGACGGATACAAGTTTGGACTTCTGAGCCTGTCCCGGTCCAATATGCTTCACGTATACAACCAGAGCGTTCTGACAATCAGCGTCTTGGTAGCAGCCGAAAATGATGCCTAGCTTCCCCTCACTCCAGAGAATACTGTACGCTGATCCGAACGTCGGTCTCCTGTTGTGCAAGGCTTCTTCATCCGTATCATACGAAGAACTCGACAAGAATGTCCGCTGGAAACCTGGTAGCCCTTCTTGTCTGCGGAAACGTAGCACGGCTGGTCTGGTTGCAACTCGAAGAAGCGTGCGAAGTTCCGTCGTACTCAAACCGGAAGTACTCCAGTTGTTAACGGAGACAAAGAGATGCCCAACAGCGTCACTCGGCAGACCAAGCGTGGATTCCTTGAGGATTTTGTGGACGATCGGGTAGTGACGTCGACTGGGTGTTTTAACTTTTGCACTCGGGTGAGGGATTTCGAGTTGTAGTCCAAGTTGCGATGCCGTCCACACCACTTCGTATTCATAGTGTTCGCGGATCATGGTGGCTTGTTGGGGACAACGATGCTGCACTGCTGACGTCCTAACCAACGCGCGGTGACCATCTTCATCCAGCCCGTCCTCAGCATTGGGTGAAATGTCTGGAGTCGTCGACGTAGGCGAGCTAGAACTCTGTTCGGAGCTGTCTTCATCGCTTGTGTCGTTGAAACCAGGTGGGCGGAAGACTAGCAGCACAGGCTTCGGTAGAGCCAACAGATCTCTGTACAACTCATCTAGCGGACGACTGTCAGCTTGTACGCCGTTTATCGAGTACAACTGGAATCCATGTTGGAGGTGCTCAACATTGGCCGATGACCCTTTTCCGGTTAAACGGTTCACTATTGCTGCACCTGTAATGGCATCTTCGAACAGTGTCAGCCCTAGAGGCCCGTTCTTCCACTCGATCAGAACCTCGCTGCGCTTTGATTCGAGGTTATGCGAGTGATTTTCACCTTCAGACTGTAAAAGTGAATGGTGAACACCCGAAGGCATCAGAGATCTCAAGAATTCCTTACAGCGAAGACTTGCAGCCTCTCGAGTCACCGCTGACATTGCCATACTGGGGATCGCGCTACGTAGAGAAAATGAGCGTCTTCGGTGCTCCCCCGACTCTTCACTGGCGGTTTGGCTGTCAAACCAGCCATTCGCGTCGTCTTCGTTCGCGTCACGCTCAATTGTCAATCTCACTGGACGTGGACACGTTTCGAGGTATTTTGTCGACATGCTGAGTCCTGCTGCGACTGCATCTTTGCTATTGACTGCCACGAGTACGTCACCGACGCGAATGCCTGAAGGAAAGGAAGAAGCACTATTGAAGGTGCCGATCCGAGTGACAACGGGGACGTCGTGACTCCCATCTCCTGTGAAGAACACACCCAGTTTCTGATGGCCTAGAAGGACATCAAAGCGCACGCGTTTACGGAATATTGCTGACCGGAATCGAATGATTGCAGGGCTTTTGGACATTTGTACCAACACAATGGCCGCCTCCGTGTCCATGGTATGCACTCTCTTGCCTGATACAGTCTCCAAAACATCACCTGGGCGGATCCCAGCTTCCCAGACTTTCCGTGCCGTGACACGATCCACTCTCAACTCGGCGTCTTCATCTAGTGCAAAGGCATCGGCTTTTTCCTCCGACTCTGTAGATGTTGTCAAGGTGAACCCTGGGTCTCCACCTGTCCAGACAAAAAAGCGAAGACACCTAAAGTCATCGTGGGTGGAGCTCCATGACGTGGGACTGCATGCAGTAGGTTGGACCATCATTGTTGCCGTTGTGGTAGTAGAGCGTGCACGGTCGACATCCTTGTGTCTGGAGAAAAGAGCGCTGCGTAAGCGGTCGAACGGCATCGATGAGGCACCAAGATGCAGTCGCTACGAGAGGAAAGCAGAAGTGAAAACAAGGCGGCGTAGTGAACACACAACCGTATGAGTGATGTAGACATCAAGAGGAATCCTCATTGCCATCACTATCGTCCATCTGTGTCCATCCAAGTCTCGTAACAAGCATCATAGGTATCTAATAACATATTCACCACGGATAAATGAAGTACTTTAATAGTCTCTTTGCGTCGTAGTCTTGATGTTGTGATGTGCACATGAGCTAGCGTTTAACTATCTTGCTTACGAAGATGCCACTAGCAAGGCTGCGGGATTTTTCATCCCCACTGCTTCCACTCCATTCCGCTTGGTGCTGTCCGTTCCTTCTCGTAGTCCTTGTCGGCTACCTCCTTCCAGTTGGTGGACAACACAGTACCTCCCGACGTTTGCTGGTTGCAACAGAGACAGAGAGCATCACACGTTAGTGCGTACACCACTACAAACAACACGTAGAGCAGCCACGTACGAAAGACTTGTTCATGGCCTTGCGCGTGTTCTCGTCGGCCTTGGCATAAATATCCCGGAAGAGCTTCTGCATCGCTTCTTCACCCTCCGGCTTCTCGGCCTCCAGCTCGTCGCCGATGGTCTTCTCGATCTGATTCCAATCCCTACTGCTCGCGTACGGACGTGGCACTTGCTCCGGTTTCGCCTCAAAGACAGCGGCAGGGCCAGTCATAACCTGCGCACCCGACTGGTACACAACCTCCTCGAGCTTGTCCCAATGCATGCCGCTGCTCTTCTTCTTAAGCTTCAGCTCCACTTTCGAGCCTAAAACCTTGAACGCGCTTTCATCCGGAATGACTTCATCAAAGAGAGCCTCGTTATAGGCCTCCGCCATCTCTCCGTCAAGTTTTACCCGCACAAGAAGCTTCTTCGGTTCAATAGAAACTTCAACATCATCTTGTGCAAGCTTCTTCTGAAGGATTGAGACCGTCACGTGTGTATTTGACTGGTACCAGTCATGACTAACATAACAATAACACACCACGTCAGTAATAATTCGTGAGACCTCCATTAATAAATATCCTCCCACCGGATCGTCGGCTTCATGGGCAATGGTGCTACCACAGCAGCTCCCTGGTTGCTCGGTGCCGAGGTTTGCATTGGCACAGGGTCATCCGGAATAACCAGCTCCTCATCATCAGCTGAAATTAACGATACAATATCCGTTAAACCACTACAGAACATCGGAAACCACCCAGTAATTACACTCACTGTCCAGTTCCGCGTCACATTTACGGATCCATGTTTGGAAGCGCTTGATCAGCGCTTCATCCGCTTTGGGTGCCGTATCTTTGCCTCTCTGGAAAGCTCGCTTGGCCTCCGCGTACTTTTCCAACTCAAACTGCGCCACGCTGTAACCACAATCAGTTTTTATTATTTAAAGCTGGATAGCATAGACGCTCACCCGTGCCGCATGTGCGTCATGTGCAGTGTTGGATCCAGTTCAGAAGCTCGCGAGGCGTCGGCCACAGCCTCTTGCAGCTTGTTCAGCTTCAGATACGCCGCCGCGCGCTTGGAAAGAGCATCTGCATCCTGTGGCTGCTTCTCCAGTGCACGTGTGTAGCTGCGCACCGCCTCCTCGTACGCTTCATCCACAAACAGAGCGTTGCCTTCGTGCTTGAATTCCATCTCGCGTCGTTTTTCTAGAAGTGAAACATCGTCCAAAGGTCTTTTTAATTTTGGACTCCTTTTCAAAACCCACACTTTTGCATCATATTTTTTTTCGAAAATTATTCCTCAAGAAAATTATTCCATTATTCCTTCATCATGCTGTGGGTAGACAAGTGCGTGTTGCACACAAAAATTGGATGAATTTTTGTGGGTTTTTGAAAATCCAATTCTGGGTGAATTGTCAGAATATATTGGTCGTAATCTAGTTTTTGTATTACGCCCAATAAACTGTGAATTCACCCAGAACTGGATGAATACATTTTTCAAAACTCACATTTGGCATCTCTCCCAGGACTATTTTTCCGGGGACCCTTCTAGGTAATATAAAATCCTATTTATCGACGCTGGCGTCGGTTTGTGGTACGTTACTTTGCGATCGACCTAAAGTAACGCTTAAAGCGCAAAGTAACGCTAGGCATTCTAGTTGGTATATCAACTGAAACTAACGGACGCGAACGTTCAGGTACAAATGCACGCGACGCTTCAACAACTGCTCGATCTCGTCGCGGGCTGCCATTCCCACGGAGCGGATGGTGTCGCCATTGTGCCCGACCACCATCTTGCGGACGCGAGGAGCAGGAACCTGTAGCAGGGAAGAAAGAGACAACAGTTACAATAATGATCTATCCACCATCAAATAACAGTAGACAACGTACGAAGATATCCTGGTCGATGCGAATACTCTTGTCCTTGAACTTAGTCCAGCCGACGTTCTCCTGCTCGAACGAGTACGGCAGCTCCTTGTTGAACCGGCGGAAGAGTTTCTCACGGATAATCTCAGCCACCAAGTCCAAGTCCGACATATCGGAATGCATGGACGAGTGGTAGCTCCAAGGTCGGTCGACTGCGAGTGACAGCAGGGTCTTCCTCAACTTGTCCATGCCATGGCCCTTCACGGCCGAAACTTTGATACTGTTGCCACCGATGTAAGCCAGTGGGTCGATCTGCAACGATGATCCCTCAGCATCGTAGTGCTTGGCGTAGATCTCTTCAATCATCTGAGATAACTCTTTCGTTTTGATCTCCAAGTTGATCTGCTCGCGTTTACCTACGAGGTCGTACTTGTTCATCACGAGCATGGTAGGCGAGCACACCTGCGCCGAGGTTGTCAGCACCTTCTCCAACGCCTGCAGAGCCGATTCATCAAGACGCTTCACTGAGTCCACGACCAGCATCGACAGATCAACACCCTGTAATGTCTCTGCGGCCGTTGTCACGAGCGTCTGCACGTACTCGTGGGTCTCCTTGGGCTTGATCAGTCCAGGTGTATCGTAAAACGAGAGCTGCGCGTCGCCCTCCGTCAAGATGCCCAACACACGGTCACGAGTGGTGTTGTACTTAGGTGACACCGCAGACACCGTCACGTTCAACAGCCTGTTCATGATGGAAGACTTGCCTGCATTCGGACGGCCAATCACCGCCAGATCCAGCGCCTTGGGATTGGCCGGTTCGTCCGGGATCAGGAACTCTCGCTCCACCACATTATCTGGTGCTGGTTGGATGTTAGTGAACTGCTTGTCCTTCATGGCCACTGGTCGTCTCGAGGGTAAGCGTCCCGTGCTTCTGTATCTCTCCTCCTCCGCTGATTTCTCCGCTCTTGAAGCTCGTCCGTCGTAGAAATGCAGCGGGTTGGACGGAGCCTCCCGCTCCCGCGTCGGACGTCGACCCACAAAGCCCTTGTTACGAGGATCAAAGGCGCCGGTGCCGTCATTCTCCTCTTCCTCGTCGTCCGATAGCAGACCTAGACGACGCATGCGTCTCTTGTTCTCGATTTCCTTGCGGGTCCGCGCCGGCATCACAGCAGGCGGAACAACCATTGTGCGAAGACGCATCTTGGCCCATTCTCGGTCGATCTCCTCCAGTGTGGGTTGCGGTGGCTCCTTGACGAGCGGTTGTGCCTCGTGTCGCTCGTTCTTGCGTTGTGACTTTCGCTGGTCCTTCGGATGCTTTTTCTTCTTCTTATCGCTAGCGGGGAGGCCGCTGGCTACGCGGAATGCCTCGCGCTTGGCTTGGCTGCGTTTAGAACGATAGGTGGCCACGAGGACGCGGACCTGGGGTAGCGTACGCGCCGACGCAGCGCGACGGAGTAGCAACTCCATTGTTGCAGTAGATAGATAGAGTAGCGATTGAGTGGCGAAGAGAAAGACCCAATCACCCAGGCGGATGGCAAGTACTATTACAAATCATAGTTTTGCACAAAACACAGAGGAAAAATTAAACGACAATCATTCTTGAGTGTGTTATTGGGTGAATTAATGTTGAAGCTTCGACGACGGAGATTTTTTGCGAGGGGGTATTGGTACAGCTACACCCGGCCGCCCCTGGCCGACTTCACTCCTCTACACGGCTCTCCTACTTGACTTGGTGAAGAATACTACGCAACGAGTGGGGCTGGGCTCGACTCGACTGGATTAGGTCTTAAAGTCATCAAAGCGCCTTAGCCGGAGAGACTGACCCCCGACATTTTGCCCGTGAAGCGACGCTGCAGCGCTGCGTGACTGATGCCACCGCGCGTCCGGCTTCCGCCGTGCGTGTTGAGCGGCTCATTCTCCATGACGCCCTTGTCGTTGGCCGTGATCATTTGCATGATCTCTTTGCACGAGCGCGACAGCTCGTCCTTGTTCTTCAGTGCGCGGAAGAGCTCCAGGCACTCCGTCTTAGTCGGTGATTCTGCAGCGGCAACAATGAGCATTAAAGCGGGTTAGTCGCGAGCTAGCAGCAACTGAAACTGGAGTTGTTGCAGCGCACCAGCGTCAACAGAGGAGGTCTTAGTCATCTTGAGGCTGGGTGCTTGCTAGCTGGCTGGCTTGGTCCGGTCGAGATGCGGTGCGCAAGAGCTGGCAAATTGCAAACTGACCGCTCGAATTCGCTTTGGGCATCGGCACTCGTCGCGCCTGTTGCCACAACTTCAACGTCGCATCCCAGTGGTTCAAACGGTTTGGATTTTATAAATGAGGGCCTCCGATTGGTCAGCTTGAAAGTACGCTATGAAATTCATGGAAAGAATTCGCAATCTGATAATAATGAGCGAGAACCGAGATCCCGTGGATTCCGTCGCTGTTGGCATCGGTCGCGACCAGCTCTCTGCTTGTATTGCCTGCCTTAAACGCCATCACTTCGACGCTCTTTCGATGCATGCATGGGAAAGAGATTGATTATGCAAGGCTACTCTCGGATCGAGAATGTCGGTCGTTGGGGGAGCTTGTGAGGTGTCTGCGCTCATCCAGAGTGCGACGAAGGAGTCGCTATTCCCATGGTTAACGGCGACGCAGCCCAACGCCCTTGCATGCTCGCTCCGAGATTTACGTTGAAGAAGAAGCCAACTTTGATTCCTTCAACGAGATTGTGCTATCTGCGCTGCAGCCGTTCCAATACCATGGATGCTAAGTTGCAGTGTAACTAACAACTATCCGGCCAACCGATGGTTTACTCCTATTTGTGCATTTTCCTGATGCAAGTGCATGCGAATTGCATGCGCTGGTACATGGGTACACCCGCACTGTCACTAGAATTGATGCGAATCGCCTTCATAAATCTGCTGCGAGCCAATTATGGCATTCCCTGATACCAAGTACACGCCCCCACTCTCCTAGTGACGTTCTGGAGAATGTGTGGCAAAGCTTGGCAACTTATCTACGCCAAGTTGCGAACAATGCCATCGGTAACCAATTGTGGGAATTCATGCATGCAGTACTGAAAAGCACAGCATAGCGTTCCCCTCCACCGCGAGCACCTCTACTTCTACAATTATGTTAAGCTTCCCAACAACATTTCTCGTCAGTATTGTTTTCCAAAGCAGTTTGTTCACCTCGTGGGAATCTAATACGCTACTGTTTCGTCTGTGCGCTCTGGGCCTGACCGAAGAGCTCTTTCACACTCTGCATAACAACCTCAAACGTGCCCGACGAGCGGTCCTTCAGTCCAATTGCCGCCAGGATCGGCAGGCCGACAGGAATACTGGGCAGAAAGCACACACCACAGCAAGTTAGCACTACCGTTCGACTACAGATTCAAACTTTACACACATCAACATACCCAAAGTGTTCCAGAAACTGCCGCGCGTACACTAGCAGCAGTGGGTCGTCGCGCCGCCCAAGACGAACATGGATGTCCGGCTGAAACTTGCCACTAATCGAGTCCTTTTGATGCGCCTCCACCTGTGCAGCCAACAGCATACCTGATCGTCAGCAATATCCACGCAAAAAATACTGATTGCTTCACCCTACCAATGTGCCGAAGGTGCCTAGCTGCGTCACAGCGATGAACACGCGGTCTACGAAGATCGAGACGGCGATATCCGTCGAGACTCCGTTAATATCCTACACAGAACAATACCGTAAGCCACTGTAGAATAGAGCACATTAGCGTTGTCTATCTTCATTCACGGCAGTACCTTTCGGTCCTTCTTGGTGTGCAGCGCTGGCGGTGCTGTAGCTTCAGCCATGATGCTGATCAAAGTGATGATATGCGTTTCTTTTGTATGGGAACGAAAGGGTATTGCTAATACTTCTCTCTGATTGGTTGAAAAGATAACGCGGTTTTCTGGTCCGACAATACAGAGACTGGCCTCGTCGGGAGAAGGAAGTGAAAAAGCCCGAGAACTCTTGTCGTCCGCAGTGGTTCCTGTCCCCGCGTCGTCGTTCACAGCCCCAGTCCAGCAGGTAAAGCTCATCCCCCGTGTCCAGCAAGCTCAGTAGTGTCTGGGTCTCGAAAATCTGTGCGGAATCTTGTGCCTTTGAGATGCAGGGGAGACTTTTAGTCCCTCGTCCTAACGACATGTGTCGTCTGCCAGTTTTAGGCATAATGGACGGCTACGACCACTTATTCAAGCTCCTGCTGATTGGAGATGCCGGTGTAGGCAAGAGCAGGTGAGTCCAAGCTTAATTTTAGTGCGCCAGTGGCGGATTCTCACACGTTCTGGTTGGTAGTATGCTGCTTCGATTCACGGACGACACGTTCGACGACAACCTTCAGAGCACAATTGGTAGGAATGAGTCAGACGCGCGGGGAAATTGAGGGGGTGACTGTAAATGCCTCTTGTTGCGGATATCGGCTTATTAAGAGACTTGGTGACGTGTCAGGTGTGGACTTCAAGGTGAAGATGATGCAGGTGGACGGCAAGAAGATCAAAATGACGATTTGGGACACGGCTGGTCAGGAGCGCTTCCGTACACTCACCAGTTCGTATTATAGAGGCGCGCAGGGCATTGTCCTGGGTGAGTTGGAGCAGCAATGAGGTGTGGTGCATGGAGATTCTTACGTTTTGGTTTGCAGTGTATGACGTCGCCCGGCGAGACACATTTGAGAATTTGGACCTGTGGCTGCAAGAGGTGGAGGTGTACAGTCCGGCTGGCGGACGTGATGTAGTGAAGCTGCTAGTGGGCAACAAGATTGACAAGGTATGCTATATTGTAGAAAACAGAGAGGTATGAGGTTTTGGTTGACACGAATTACTGCGATTTTTGACAGGAACGAGTGGTGAGCCGCCGGGAGGCAGAGGACTGGGCGCGGTCTAAAGGCATGCTGTTCGTCGAGAGCAGTGCAAAGACCAAGATCGGCATCCAGCAAGTGTTCAATGAAGTAGTGCAAAAGGTGCGGGATGGCGAGGAATTCCTATTGTTTGCGGTGGTCTCACCTTACTGACGTGCGGTCGCGTTGACAACGCTGTGCTTCAGATCCTGGAGAACCCAGCGCTGCTGTCCAACACGGCACCGCGCAGTCGCGGACGAAAGCTCGATGGTAAAGCGGAGAAGAGCGGCGGCGGCAGTGGGTGCTGTTAGAAAAGACCCACGGTTTTGTTGTTGATGCCCCCTGTCGTGGCGGCAGCGTGGTTGTGTCTGTCACGGTCATTTTTTCGTGCGTGTTCCTCGTCTCACCACGATGAGGACAGTGGCGGGAGGATGGCCCTTGACACGCAACCTGCTGTCGCTGTGCTCCATTAAGCCTAGCGTCGGCGATGCTTTCATTGTGGCTAAGGCTGAGTCGAGACCTGCTGAGGGCCGGAGGAAGGAACTAACGAATTGACTGCGAGGCAGCAACACGGTGGTAACGCAGGACAAAAGCTAGCAATACATGTATTTGAGACGGAATCAGGGCTTGGAAGTTGACGTTGTTTGCTGAAGCCACGTCAGCAGAAGGGCTGTTTATTCGTCCTGCTTCAAGGTGAAAGATGCTGCTCTTCTGGCCACAGTAGCAGTGTGCGATAACGAGCTGTATTCCTACCATGTCGAGCGATGGTGGTGAGCAACGGAGAAAACTTGCTCTTGAACGTCTTAGGTCCCTCGCGCAATGGCGTCGTCCTGAGTCAGGACAACGCCATTGCACTCCTGACACCTCGGACTGCGCATCCATGCACGCAGGCACGTTGTTGAGCAGGAGCCATGTTGCATGCCATGTTCCTGCTACGTTGGCAATTCCAGCATCACATGTACAGATGTCTGACCCTCGCATAGCCGCTTGCAGACGTAAATTTTACAGCGAGGATCTGTGAGTTTTTAGATTATGCGTCGCATAAAGCGGGGAGCATGATTTACGCAGGTTCAAACTCATTCGGGAAGCGCCAGCAGCCAGCATCGCAAGCCAGCATCGCACGATTTGAGTTCAAATCGCGCAACTATCTTGCGCGAAATATTGCCGCACAGCCCGGAACAGCCTCTACGCCACCGAGTTCTCACAACGCCGGACGCCCTCGATAGCGAGCGACAATGAATTCGCTGCCGCGCTAAACACGCCGAGCTTGCCATCAACGCAGCGCCGCTACGGCAGACAGTCCGCGGCACAAGCGAGTGTATCCATCAACGGGGAAAGTGGGAGTCGCTGCGATTGGACGCTCGCTTTATCGATTTTCGAAGGGATGCTGTAGGCTCGGATCGTCATTGGTCGATACGTGGGACACAGACGGGCGCACCTCTTTTTGATTGGTCAGCAGCGAGTGTGTGTTTGTATTTCACGTCAATAACCGTAGGCTAATCTTTCGCGTACAGTAGCGCACCTCAACTTGCACTGTGCAGAAGCACATACCCTTCTATAATCGATCGAAATACAGTCGTGGATCTCTTGTTTTACTAATCTGATATAACAGCACAATAAATATTTGATCGTAGATAAAGTATCAATCAAACTAAATACAAATATGTTAATAGAGGCTATCGAAAACTAACGAGCGAAACAAATATTTGCTTTGATCGGAACAGCAACAGTTTCGTCTGGACACTGTACTTCACCCAAGTCGCTTTACCCATCTGGGCGCCCAGAGAAGCCGCAGTCAACGTTACAAATCCGCCTGTGGAGCTCAATCGCGAACGCCCTCCACCACACTCGAAAAGGCCTCGTTGCCCGCGCGCTCCGCCTCCTGCCCCGCCGGATTCGTTCTGCCGACCGCAGGCCAGGCCTTCGTCCACACGCCCCGCTTTCGAGTCGACTCGGCCGTGGGACGCGCCCTTTCTTTCGATCTTCCGGCCGTTCTGCCGAGGCAACTCAGTCACTGCCTTGTCAGTTGCAGCACCGCCTCGCCAAGAGCAGATCCCCCAAGCTTCTCGCGTTCTCGATGGACGCTACGGCGATGCCATGTCGGACGGACAGCACGCCATCCCAGACACAGAACCCCCGCCGCAACAAGAAAGGTCGCAAGAAGAGCAATAGCAACAATGAGTCGGCCACTGCAACTCCAACCACGGCCGGCACGCGCCGTTCCCGCCAAGACAGCAACTGTAGCAGTGGCAGCGGCATCGACGCAGACGAGCGCCGGCCGACCATCGCCTCGGTCTCAGCTTCAGCCCTCCACCCTCGCCTGCATCGCATCCTGAGGGAGGCCAACGCACCAGCATTGGCCATGGATGTGACGGGCCGCGTCACATTTTGGAACAACAAATTGACGGAACTCTCCGGGTTCCCAAGCGTCGATGTGGTTGGCCGGCCCATAACAGAGCTTGTAGTAACCGACAGGACGGCTGAAGTCACGCGCGGACTCAAACACGCGCTGGCCGACGTTAACACCACAGTGCACGGCGTGGAGATCGAATTGAACACGCCGGAGCTCGGCCGCAACGTGAAGCTGCTTGTAAACTTAACCGTCGACGTGGACGACAACAACAAGGCGTCGAATATCGTGGCCATCGGACAGGACGTCACTGTGTGGATGCAAGGATCGCAGTACGCGCGCGTAGCGCAGCAGGCCAACGCCCCCATTGTAGAGCTCGACCGAGACGGACGCATTACGCTATGGAACCCCAAGGCCGAGGCTGTCACGGGTTACGCTATTGATCAAGTCGTAGGCACGCCACTGGTGGACTTAGTGCACGATGAATTCCGTGTGCTTGTGGCCGAACTTCTGGCCCGTGTTGCATCAACCAACACGTCAGTGTCAGAGTTCGAGTTGCCGCTCAAGACCGCGAGCGGCGCGCGTGTGGAGCTGCTGTTGAGTCTTACGCCACAGACCAGCGTCGATGGAGCAGGCACGACGGTGAACCGCATCGTGGCCATTGGACAAGACGTGACGGCCCGTAATGCGAGCGAGATGGAGTACAGCAAGCTGGTGGACTCGGCCAACGCCCCCATTTTCGGCGTGGATACACAGGGTTGCGTTGTCATCTTCAACAAGAAGGCTTCAAAGATCAGCGAATACTGGCCCGGTGAGGTCATGGGCGTCGATCTGGTGTCGTTCTTGATTCACGAAGACTATCGCGAGAAAGTGGCCGCAGTGTTCCAGAAGGCTCTACGCGGTATCGAGACGGCAAACTTTGAGTTTCCGCTGATTACTAAGCACGGCCGGAAGGTGGAGATCTTGCTGAACGCCACGCCGCGCTACAATCACGCCGGCGCCATCGTTGGTGTGGTCGGTATTGGACAGGATATTACCGAGCGAATTGTGCAGGAGCAGGAGTACAACCGCCTCATCGATACAGCCAACGCACCTATTGTAGGTGTAGACAAGAAGTTCTGCGTGACGATTTGGAACAAGAAGGCGGCCACGATCACGGATTACTCGTACACACAGGCGATTGGCAAGAATCTCCTTGGTTTTATCGCTGAGCATGCACGCGATACGGTAAAAGACGTGCTTTCAAAGGCCATGGGAGGTATTGAGACTCCTAACTTCGAGTTTCCCTTGGTGACGAGGAGTGGAAGACAACTGGACATTCTACTTAATGCAGCGCCGCGATTCGATCACAGTGGCGCGATTACTGGCGTGGTAGGCACTGGACAAGACTTCACTGACCAGCGAGCACAGGAGGAAGAATACATTCGACTGATTGATACGGCCAATGCGCCGATTTTTGGTATCGATATGGATGGACGTGTAGATATTTGGAACCGCAAGGCTGTAGCCATCACGGAGTACACGGTGCTCGAGGCACGAGGAACGCGGCTAGTTGAGAGCTTCATTCCTCATGACTATCGCGCTGGAGTGTCCGACGTTATGTCGAAGGCGATGGAGGGAGAAGGCACTGCTAATTTCGAGTTCCCACTTATCACGAAAACTGGCCGACGTGTGGATATCCTGCTGAACGCTACACCGCGTTACAACCAGCACGGCGACATTGTGGGCGTGGTCGGTATTGGCCAGGACATCACGGAGCGTATCGTACAGGAGCAGGAGTACAGTCGATTGATTGACACTGCCAATGCGCCCATTTTTGGTGTGGATATGACGGGTCTTGTAAATATTTGGAACGATAAATCCGCCGAGATCACGCAGTTCACTGCGGACGAGGTCATTGGCAAGGACTTGGTGCAAGAATTTATCTCGGAAGGATACCGCTCTGCTGTGGGGCTGGTGCTATCGCAGGCGTTGAACGGCGTGCAAACTGCCAACTTTAATTTCCCACTAATCACCAAATCTGGACGTCGAGTCGAAATTTTGCTGAATGCCACGCCGCGATATAATGAACTAGGAGAAATCGTTGGTGTGGTGAGTATTGGCCAGGATATCACGGAACGAATCGCTCAGGAACAAGAATACAGTCGTCTTATTGATACTGCTAATGCTCCCATCTTCGGAGTGGACAAGGAAGGCTGTGTCAACATCTGGAACAAGAAGGCTGCGGAGATTATGCAGTACTCGAACAACGAAGTGGTGGGTGAGAATTTGGTTGAAAAGTTCATCACGGAAGACTACCGTGAAGCTGTTGGCGCTGTGCTGTCGAAGGCTCTGGATGGGATTGAGACGGCGAACTTTGAGTTCCCATTAGTGACAAAAGCAGGTCGTCGTGTGGAGATTTTGCTCAATGCTACGCCTCGGTTTAATGAGCATGGAACGGTTATTGGTATGGTGGGTATTGGACAGGACATCACTGATCGTATCGCGCAGGAACAAGAGTACGCTCGATTGATCGAAAAGGCAAATGCCCCCATCTTTGGTGTGGATTCAGAAGGAAAGATCAATATCTGGAACCATAAGACAGCTGAAATGACGAGATTCTCGAAGGAAGAAGCAGTTGGTAAGGACTTGGTGAGCTGGGCAATCCCTGAAGAGTACCGCGATGCTGTGGAAACTATTCTGTGGAAGGCGCTGGAAGGAGATGAAACGTCAAACTTTGATGTCGAACTGAAGAAGAAGAATGGCCGCACTGTGAATATCCGTATGAATGCCACTGCGAGGTTTGACCAGCACGGCCAGATCGTGGGCGTCGTGGGTATCGGCCAGGACTTGACAGATCGTATCGTGCAGGAGCAAGAGTACACGCGTCTGATCGACACAGCCAATGCTCCGATTTTTGGCGTGGATGCTAATCTATGCGTGAATATCTGGAACAAGAAGGCAGCGCAGATCACAAAGTATACTACTGCAGAAGTTATTGGAGAGAATCTGGTGGAGACGTTCATCTCTCCGGAGTATCGACCTGCAGTGGCCGACGTGTTTAGTAAGGCTCTGAATGGCATCCAGACAGCGAACTTTGAGTTCCCACTAATCACACGCCCCGGCACACGCATTGAGATTCTTCTGAACGCCACTCCTCGCAATGATATGCACGGGAATATCGTTGGTGTGGTGGGTATCGGTCAGGATATTACCGATCGTATCGCACAGGAACACGAATACTTCCGACTGATCGATACGGCGAATGCTCCGATCTTCGGTGTGGACACGTTTGGCTGCATTAACGAGTGGAACCAGAAGATCGAGGAGATTACGGGATACCACAAGTCGACGGTTCTTGGGCTATCGCTGGTGGATGCGTTTATTAACGCTGAGAACCGATCTGAAGTGCGGAAGCTACTGAACCAGGCACTAATCGGTATCGATGTTGGAGAAATGGAGCTGCCAATGACGACCGCTGCTGGCCGGTCCTTGCTGCTGCTAGTGAATGCTTCTAGCAAGAAGGATATGCACGGTAATATTCGTGGAGTTATTGGAGTGGGGCAAGACTATACTGCCAAGAAGCACATGGAGGCAGCGAAGGTGAATTTCCTCGCTTCGTTCAGTCATGAGCTGCGAACCCCGCTTAACGGTGTGCTTGGTATGCTAGAATTATTGCGTGATCAGAAGTTGGACAAGACGCCGGAGCGCTACGTGCATATCGCTTACATTTCTGGATCATTACTGCTGAATCTTATCAACGACATTCTCGACTTGTCGAAGATTGAAGCAGGACACATGGAGATTTCAGCGGATCCATTCCAAATGGAAGATTTACTGGAGTACTCGGTCGAGATTTTCAAGTTTAAGGCGCGCGAGAAGCACATCAAGCTGACTTTAGAATGCTCGCCAAAGGTTCCTAAGCGCGTTATTGGAGATGTAAGCAGACTACGTCAAGTGCTGCTGAACTTGCTGTCGAACGCTATCAAGTTCACGAACGAAGGATCCATCACCGTGCGATGTAACATGGTGCCGTCTCCGGATTTGCCTAAACACTGCGTGAAGCTTCTGTTCCAAGTGATTGATACCGGTGTAGGCATGGATGACGAGGAGAAATCGAGACTTTTCTCGCTGTTTACGAAGCTTGAGCGTACGCGCAAGAACAATCCCACTGGTTCAGGCTTGGGTCTTGCTATCTGCAAACAACTCGTGGAGCTTATGGACGGTGATATCGACGTAGACAGCGAACTGGGCGAGGGATCCGAGTTTTTCTTCACGGTTGTGGTGCGTCGCCCGGAAGACGAAGAAGACGAGCTTATTCAGAAGTTCCCGGCCGTCTTGGCCGCGGAACCAGGTGCCGTTTCCTCTCTAGCAGGTAATAATGCAAGACACAACGCGTCTATGTCGGAGCTGGTGCCGAAACATGCTCGCATCTTGGTGGTGGAAGACAATGAGTTTAACTGGGAAGTCGTCAAGAGCTTCTTCATGGAGGACAACCATCTGCTGCAGTGGGAAACGAATGGGCTGGACGCGTATCAAATGTACCAGGAGCATCACGATTCGTACGATATTGTGCTGATGGACTGTGAGATGCCGATCATGAACGGATACGAGTCCACCCGTAACATTCGAGTCTTTGAAAAGCAGCACAAGCTCCCGCGCATCCCCATTATTGGCGTAACCGCGTACGCTATGAGTGGCGATCGGAAGAAATGTCTGGACGCTGGAATGGATGAGTTTATCGTCAAGCCTATCTCGAAGACTGAGCTGCGAAAAGCGATCCGGAAGTGGATGCGTGTTCGCTTCTTGGGTCAACACTGTCCTCGTCCCTCTCGAGTGGAGTCTGTGGATACATCCAACATCGATACTGATGCGTTATGTAACCAGCACGCTGCCAACTTGGTCGCTGCATCGAGACACAAGGAGAAGCTGGACCTCGACCGAGCCATTTCCGACTTAGAACTCGAAGATCCCATGATGATCGGCCAGCCTAGTGGCATTCAAACCGCTGCGGGCTCAGAAGCACTGCTCATGTCACTCACGACTATTAGTGAAAGCAAGAGCAACTCGACCAGCTCGGGGACTGTCGGACGCACCATCGGACCTGTTGATGTCTTGCGTGAGACGCCTGAAGCGACGAACTCGATGCAACATCCGAGTGGAGCACCGCCTACACATCCTGGGAATCTCGTGAATGCTTCGAATATTGTCGGCACGAACTTGTTTGCAGCCGCGAAGGCAGCGGGAATCTACCCGATGAATGCGACTGAGCCTACGCCATACTCGAGTCCGAACTCGTTTGCGTCGAGTGATGGCAACAACCAGCAAGATTCAGAGAGCTCGACCATTGTGGCGAACAAACCAGCGCGAGCGTACTCGTCGACGATGGCTCCTGAAGATATTGTGATTCCAACGGGCGACCCGATTGATTATTCTTTGGGTGTGGAGCAATGTGGGGCGAATGAGAGTCTGTTCGTGAACCTACTGGAGAAGTATGCAGGTTTGAGCGAGGAGTTCATGCGACGTATCGAGGAAGCGTACTCTAACGACGACTTTGTGGTGCTACGACGCGAGAGTCACTCGCTGAAGGGATCGTCTGCTTATGTTGCAGCCATGCGTGTGTCCAAGGCAGCATTCCGTGTGCAACTAGCTACTGAACATGTGATGGAGGAGTCTGCTACGGAAGACAACTACACCTCATTGAAAGACGCGTTCCAGCTGCTCAAGAGCGAACACCGTGCTCTACGTGGTTACCTTCGTCGTAACTTTTCTTTCCGCACGAGTACCGGCAATGGAGGCCAGGAAGCCAAGAAGAAGAACAATGGAGGAGGCGACAACGCCTGCGTTGTCATGTGAGCCATGTGGTGGGCTTCAGGGGGTATATTTGCTTTTTATAAAAGTGACAACGAAGCAGTGAAGGCGATGAGGATCGATAGAGTGCGTGTGAGCTTGTCCTCGGCCTTCATTGCGCCGTAGAAATGTAACTTATAATTGATAGCCTTGCTTGGTATCGGATGGTGAGTTGGCTGGAAGTTTTCGAGTTGGTACGTGGTTATTTGGATTGCTTGGTGTCGGTGAAGTAGGTCTCCTCGATGTCATTGAGCAGGTCGTTCATCGCTTCTTGGAACTTGGCGCATACCAGTGAGCGGTTGGCACCGATCTGCTCAGCGAATCGCGATAATTTTCTGTAGGTAAGCACATCAAGGGGTGAGGACTACAGTTCACGATGCGTAGTGCGGATATGATGGGACTTACGCTTTCTGCATGGCAGGTAAGAGCTGGATCCACGCCACGATGTCGTCTAGTGTGTATTCGTGCTCCTTGATGAGCTCCTTGGCGTCTTTCAAGTAGTGAAGAGCCACTTTCTGCACGATCTCGTCCACTTCCGCTTGCTCTTTGCTGTCATCCTCGACGCTTTTCGCGTCATCTTCGTCTGCACTTCTTCGAGTTTGTGAAGCTGCCTGGTCCCCACAGTATCGCTGGATGAACTCGTGCTTAAGTAGCTGCTTCACACTCCATCGCTCGGTCTGGTCTTTCTTTAAACACTTGTCCAAGAAGTCACAGAAGAGATCCGAAAACTCGCCTTCAGGTAGTCGAGGTGGCTATCGAGACATCGTCAGACTACCAGAAGTACAGGGAGTGTTCATAGATTACTTACCGGCTCGTTCCGGATCATGTGCAGTAGTTCCCAGTACCCTCCTCGCGAGGAGTACGGGAACTTCCCAAGCGCACAAGTCATGATGGAGAGACCGAAAGACCAGACGTCCGATTTGTATGAGTATTCCTGGCAAGATTAGCATCAAGTATCAGTGGATTTAAGTGAGTAACGAGTGCGATGGTGCTTTACCTCACTGGCGATTCGCTCTGGAGACATATATGTGAGCGTTCCCACGAACGTCGTAGCTTTAGCCATGGAGTTCTCCATTTCCCGAACGATCCCAAAGTCTGAGACTTTGACGTCTCCGAAGTGATTGATAAGAAGATTGCTGGGCTTGATATCACGATGGAGTTGGTGTGTGCTGTGGAGAAACGCGAGTCCTTTGAGCACGCGGAATGAGATGTTGGCTAGCACCACCTCACTGGTACATCCTCCGGTATCTACGATGTCCTGGAGAGATCCACCATCCATGTACTCGACCACAATCGACACGTTGCCTTCGTTCGGGTTCATGAAGGCGTCGTACAGACACACGAGCTCCGGACACGCTACACTCTGCCGCGGCGACTCTGCAGCTTCTGCATCCGGTAAAGTGGACAGATTGTTGTACAGAGCTTTGAGTTCCGCGATGAGCTGATGTCGCTTTTCGTGCTCGAAGACAGGAATGACTTTCACTGCCACGAGCATCAAAGACGGAACATGAAGAGCTTTATGCACCACGCCGCTAGCTCCACGACCAAGCACGCCAAGCTTTACCAAGTGCTTCTTAGTATGCTGCTGTCGTCTGTCAGATTGAGTACTCGGAACGCCATCCGAATCTCGATCCGGAGAGCGAGTGAGTCCAGTCTGCTTGATCTGGAAGCCCACAGCGTCAAAGGTTCCTGAAGCGGACAAGTCGTACGATTTCTCCAATCGATCCGTGCTGGCAGTATGCAAGTCTAGTTGGAAATCGACGCCAAGACCTTGCACGAAGTTGCGCTGGATGCCTCTCTTGCCTGAGGACGAGAACGTTGGTGACGTTGAAGTGCCTGGTCTTAAGCCTAATCCGGTTGGACCCGAAAGCTTCGGAATGTTTGTTGCTTGACGGCCAGGTGCTCCTTGAGCTGGAGCGTTGACTTCTACGTGTAGATCTGAAATTTCCAGTTTGATCTGGGAAGGTCGTCGACGTCCACCGGTTGCAAGATGCGCTTCACTGCTTTTCTTCTTCTCGGCGACTTTGGGTTTTCGACCTTCCTCTGCTGCTTCATCTGGGTCTGTGCGCATGGATCGGATACGCCTCATGTCGTTGGCTAAAGACTGCACACTACGGGCTGCATGTATAGCAGGATCGCCTGGATGTTCCATCTTGCTTTCAGCTCGAGAGGACGAATCTTCTGGGCGGTGTCGATCTAAAATCTTGACTTCTGGCTGCTTGAGCTTGGATTCTCGCACTAAACTTTTATCATCGTCTCCAAGGTGAGAAGCACTGGAAAAAAAAAGAAGTTAAAACTCTATCTTGGTTACTTAGTAATGGGGAAGTTTCGCCAGCCATACGATCGTCTCTCGTCTGTCGAAGGAATCGAAGAGATCTGCAATGACAACAATAAAACCAATTGATGTTAATGATACTAGGCTAAACCTGAGGGTACTGGTGTCCTTACCTTGGACTCAGCCTTGCCTTTGTTCACCTATTCAGTCAACCCTGTTAACATGAGAACTTTAATTCAAGAAAGAACGCTTACAAACCTGTGGCTTTGCCTCCCATTCCTCATCGTTTGCAGTGGCTTTCATCATAATTTCTCTCTCACAAGGAGGAGAACAATTGATAAATGCTGTTGGTCACTGTGGCCGAAGGTCGTTACGCTTGAAGCGACGCGAAAGATTCAAATTCAAACGGTCTTTAACTATTGGACAAGTTGAAGTTGTCCGAGATGGCTACACTTAAAGATGCAGCATACGACGCAGTTCTGCGACTCGATCTCGAGGATATGGCGGATGATGCGCGACGAAAGCCTCAGTGGCCGCTTTTCTGGCACTAAGCTCTTTCTCCACACAGTAGAGATCTTGTACGCGTTGCTTGGCTGCAGCCTTCAAGTCCTTGGGCTTGGGCATTTTGCCAGTGTGCACCGCCTGCTTGATGTCGGCCGTCGCAAGCGGGATCTGCTTCTTGACGAACAACTTGCCGTCCTTGGTCTCCAGCCACTCGCGAGCTGCAGCTCCAGCGGCTTTCACTTGTGCGTCCACGTGCTGCTGTTCCTGTGTTTTACGGCTTCTTTCCGCGAGTTCGATGGCCTCACGCCACAGTTTCTCAGCTTGAGGGATCAACTGCTCCGACAATTCCATCACGGAGGCGAGCTGCTCTTGAGCGTGTGCGGCGTCGCGAGCACGAGCGAGTTCTTCGTTGCGCCGGATTGTTAGCATCTTGAAGCGGAGGTTGCAACTAGAATTGACGCCAACCAGTAGCTCGTACACGGTAAGAGTCGATAGACAGCGATTCCGATCGAGCTGCAGCTTGGCGATGCTGAGAGGCTGCAGATAACGTAAGAGTTAGGTCGATATAACAGGTATTTTGCGGTCTACTTACTGTCTGCCGCTTGTAGTTTTCTGTGGATAGAGCGACCACCACAGCGTCCGTGTGCTTCAAGAGGTAGCGTAGCAGCAAGACTTGTGAGGTGCGGGCACACCAGTGCAGAGCATTGTCACCATGCGCGTCACGCTGTGCAGTGTCTCCTCCAGCCTCCACTAGCAGCTTTAATATCTCGACGCGGTTGGTAACTGCACCAAGTGAGTTCCTGCACGCTGCGATCATGGGCGTCGTTAGGTTGTACTGCGTGTCGACAGCATTCACAGCGGCCACGCAAACCTCCGGACTGAAGTGGGTCTGCATGAAGGTCACTAATAAGCGAACGATCTTCACAGACCCCAAGTAACTGGCTTCATGTAGGAGCGACTCGCCACCTCCACCACCTTCGACGCTCTTACTGGCATTACGGACATAGTCCTTCCTCAAGAAGAACCGACGTCTGTCCTCCTCAAGAAATGTCTTGACAGCTTGAGCGTCATCGGCTACGATACTGACCCAAACGTTCACGAACGGCTCGATCTTCGTCTGACTCTCCTCTGCTTGTTTAGCGGCTGCTTGAGCCGTCGACGCAAGATCTGGAGCTCTCGACTTTGGTCGCTGCTGCTTCTGCTTCTTCGCTTCGACCACTTGCTGCTGCTTGATCCAGAACTGCTCCGTCTCGTCCTTGATCTTCAACGCCTTCTGTAACCACGGAGGGTATCGAGGAACTCCTTTGACCGCACCCGCCATTGCTCGTCTGTACTTAGTACAGATCCTAGAGTCGCTTCAGCTACCCATAAAACGTAAACCTATTTGATAACCTCTCCTTTCTCTTACTTGACTGCCTCACGAGCGATTTTATCGTCGAGATACTGCGTCGTCTTGTCCTTTGCAGCTTTCTTGGCAGCCACCGTTTGTGTGATTTGAGCCATTTTGTTGACACTCGTGCCGATGACAGCGTCACCGGTTTTCAAAGTAGTGTGGTTGGGTAGAGAGCGAGTTGCGTTGCTGGCCAACTGACCCAGACTCAGTGAAGCCTTGTACTGCAACTCCTCGTCAGTGGATCGAGCTCGGGCGATACGTAGTAGAGCCTGGATGCCTCCTTCCTCGGCGATACGCAGGTGATTTTCGTAGTTGTCCGCTAGTTTGAGTAGCGCCAATCCAGCATAGTGACGTGGCTCGGCATGTACCGACATCATGGCGATAAGAGGGCGCAAGGCTCCACGCTCGACAAGACGAACCTGGTACTCCCGGTTTGACGCCAAATGGGCCAATGTGAAGGTCGCGTACTCCTGACACTCCATGTCCTCCACACAAGCCAAGGCGATGGCAGCGTCCAGTCCTCCTTCACGGTACACGTCGTCATGGTAATCTGTCTGCTGCTCCACCACCAGAGCGAGGATGTATCCGCAGTTCCTCAACGTCTCTGTGTCCACACACTTGGTCAACGCGATTACGTGTGCCAGAGTGCCCAGCTCTACCAGCTTCTGCAGCACATCTTTGCTTTCGGCCAACGAGCCAAGACAGTAGAGAGCGCAGCGAACACACTCTTCATCTGTAGACGCTAGTAGAGCCAGCAAAGGCAGCAGTCCGCCGCTCTGCATCACCGACATCTTCGTCAAGCTCTGTTTACCCAACGCCAACGCGTTCAACGCCAAACAGCCACAGAGCTGCACGTCTGCACTGGGATAACGCAGTAAATCAATCAAAGGAGGTACAGCGCCTTCCTCGATCAACCGGAGCTTGTTGTTGCCCATTCCACCGAGCGCCAGAGCTGCTAAAGCCAACGATGCGTACCGCTGGATCTGTGCATCTGGAAACCGGATGAGGTGTGTAAGTGGACGAACAGCGCCTTGTTCCACGATGAAAGCCTTGTCGTCCCCTGATGAAGTAACGTTGCAGATCGCTAGCGTGGCGAACCGTTGAGTAGCCACATCCAGGGATCGAGTAAGACGGAATAGTGACGGCAGAGCACCTTGTCGCACCAGCTCAGACTTGATGGAGTTCGTGATGGACAAGGAAGCGAACACCCGCGCACAGTCACGTTGCACTCGAGCGTCATCATGAGCACCTACGTTGATCATGGCTGAGATCGCACCTTCACGTACAACATCCAGTTGATGTTCCAGCGAATCTGCCACATTCGCCAGAGCAAACACGCAATCTCGCTTCACTTCCAGGTCGTCGTAGGCGCAGCACCGGAGGATCTGCGCTAAGCCGCCGTCACGGACAAGCTTCAGCTTGTTTTCTTCGTTAAGCGAGAAACTGGAAAAGGCTGCGGCTGCTGTGCGTTGGTAGTCGAGAAGTGGACTCTGCGCCAGCTTTATGAATGGCTGTAACAATGATTCTTGCACGATATGAACGCGGATTGTCGGGTTGGCCGAGAGGAAGCGCAGACCCATTGCTGCGTACCGTTGCGTGATGTCATCTGCAGACTCCGTGAGCTGGATGAGACTCAAAAGAGCTCCTTGCTTGTACACAGCCTGGTGGTTCTCCTCGTTGGAGCAGAGATTCGCCAGTGCGCGACTCACATCTTGTAGAATCTCCGCACTGTCTTGAGCCACTTTGGCCAGCGCAACGAGCGCACTGGTCAAACCTTCCGCCACAATCTTCTGCTGGTTTGTTGGGTTCTCCGACAAATTCGCGATCAGGCCAGCACACTGACACTGCAGATCTCGAAGCCCCTTTGCTCCAGGATTCGTGTTCAGACAGCGTAGCACTGGACGTAAAGCACCTTCGTCGACGACTTGCTGCTTGATTTCTGGATGAGAAGCGGACGACGTCAAGTGACGCAAAGCTGCCACTGCAGGGGCTTGTAGCGTAGCGTCCACATCCCGTAGAAACGTGATAAGAGAGTTTAGTCCACCTTCTTCCACGTACTTGCGTCGGAACTCGCTGTTAGCTGCTAGGTCTCGCAACGCTAGAACACTCTGGCGCCGCGTATTGAGCTCTTTAGCGTGAAGAAGGAAGAAGAGAGTCTTCAGCCCTCCTTCGTGCACTAAGCCGCGGTGGCTCGCGAAGTTTGGAGCGAGTTTTCGAAGTGCTAGAGCGGCATTGTACTGACACTCTGGATCCAGTGATAAGCCGAGATGAACAAGACCAGGAAGACCGTCAGCGATCATATCAGTGTGGTGCTCGAAGCTGGACAGCAGATTGGCGATCGTACGTGACGCTTCTCGGTGGATTTCCTCGTTTCGGTGCTTCATGAGAGCGATCAGGAAGTCTCCACTGCGTTCTGCGACGAAATGCGAGTGCGTATCGAGGTGCTCAGCCAGATTAGCGAGTGCACCACACGCTTGTCTCGCGACTTCAAGATCGGAGGACTGGGCCAGCTTGATAAGCGGACGGAGCGCTCCTTGCTCGACGATCTCGACCTTGTATTCGTCACTGAGGGATAAATTACAGTACGTAGCGGCTACTTCACGCTGCGTCTCGAGTTCTTCCGACATACCAGCAATAGCCAATGGAGGTAAGCCTCCACCACGTACAATTCGCCCGCGATTTTTAGCCGAGAACTGGCACAGACGACGAAGCGCCGACACCGCCAGTGTGTGTGAATTCGAGTCCTCTGCATGCGCCAACATAATGAGAGCTGCGATTCCGCCTTCGTCTCCAATCGCGGCGCATTGTGCTGTGTTACCTGCAAAGTTTGCCAACGCAAAGGCAGCGTACAGCCGGATATCTTCGTCCTTGGACTGACCCAGCCGCAACGCCACTTTCAACACACCACGGTTGATCATGTGGTCGTGGTTGTTCTCGTTCGCCGCCAAGTTCGACAAGGCCATGATCGCAAACCGCTGACTCTCCAAGTCGTCTTCGTCTTCCGTGAGCGCAAGAATCGGAGCGAGGCCACCATGAACGAGCACCTGGACCTGAAGAAGCGGGTCGCACGCCAAGTTACACAACGCAATGCAGGCGTATCGGCGCACACTCGGGTCGGCCGCGTCCTTCGCTGCTAGCAACAGAGCTTGCAATCCTCCACCACGCGCTGCAGCTGACCGCGTTTCACTATTCGCTGCCAGGTTACACAGCGTCATTGTGGCGTATCGTTTGCAGTCCCCGTCCTTCGCTCCAGCCAGCCGAACAAGGGCAGACTCAATGCCTGCCTCGACAAGTTTGAGTTGATTCGCTTGAGCACACGACACGTTGTACAGCGCCAAGGCCGCGCTACGTTGACACTCGAGATTTGGAGACAAGCACAACGCTCGGAGAGGTCGAAGAGCATGTCGCTCCACGACTATGAGGCGATTCTGACGGTGTGCCGACACATTGGCTAGCGTCATACTGGCATAGCGAGAACACTCTGGGTCGCCGGATCCGGCAAGGTCTACGAGTGGATCGAGGCCATCGTCCTGTACCACGAGATGCAGTTGGTTGGCAGGATTAGCTGTCAGGTTACACAGCGCCATGGCTGCGTACTTGGAACACTCGACGCTCGGAGACCGCAGTAGAGCTACAAGCGCTCGCATAGCACCGGCCTTCATGATCTTCTGCTCGTTGCTAGAGTTACTTGACAAGTTACAGATAGCCATACCTGCACAGCGCTGGATTTCTTGGTCTCCGGTCTCACTGAGCCGAGCCACAAGGGCAGGAAGAGCACCGGCGTCCACGATGCGATGCTGGTTCTCTGCATGGGCGCTGAGTCGATAGAAAGCACGAGCCGCGTACAGCCGCGTAGACGCGTACTCGCTCTTTAAAAGATCAGACAGCGGGACGAGACCGCCCAGCTCGGAGATCTGGAACTGGTTGTGCGAAGTGACGGCCAAGTTGCCCAGACACATCGCAGCGTCACGTCCACAGAACTCTTCTTTACTTTGCGCCAGTGTGAATATAGCACGGAATTCCTGGAGCGAAAACACGCCGAGGTGGTTCTCGGGATTACTGGATACGTTGGCAAAAGTGCGACTGATGTGCCGCGAGATCTCTGCGTGATAACTGGCTTTCGTGAGCTCCAGAAGAGCTGGTAGCGCACCTTCACGCACCATTTGCACTTGGTTCAGCACGTTCTCACTCAGTGTAGCCATCGCTCCAGCGCATTGAAGTCTCACGTCGTCGTCCTCTACAGCACAACAACTGAAGAGCGGAGGGAGGCCTCCTTCATGCACAAACTGCGTCTTGCCTGGAGCGTAGAGTGACAGATGCCGCACGGCTGCAGCTCCCATGGTCTTGAGCGTTGTGTCGGCACTGCGTAACAGCGAGATAAGCGCTAACATCGTGCCTCCGTCTTCAGCAAGTGTGGGCTTGTTGTCTTTATTCGCCGTCAGAGTCTTGAGGGCCGCCGCTGCTTGACGCTGCACGTCCAGTCCAGGAGCTCCAAGTAGCAAATGTAGCGTCTGTACCGAGCCACTACCAAGCAATGCTCGATGCGTATCGAGATTGCTCGTAAGCTTGTGCAGCGCTAGTGCCGTGTTGTATTGACACTCTTGGTCCTCTATCTTGGCGACTCGAGCCTCAGCAGCAAGCCCTTCTTCGTTGAGTAGTACAGCATGGAATTCTGACGTACTCATGAGGTTTGCCACTAGTCTAGAGGCTTCACGGTACACTGGCAAGTGTCTGCTTCGCATTGCCTTGACTCCTACATGCACCGCGTGGACATCGATCATGAACTCATGTGTGCGTACATTTTCTGCAAGATTGGCAGCAGCTCCACAAGCATTTCGTGCGACTTCGATATCAGGGGATGAACACAAAGCGAATAACTGCTGGAGCAGTGCCGGTGAGCTCGCGAACGTGAGCTTGTTACTTTGCGCCAGGCTCAGATTGCACAGACACGCTGCGGCTTCACGCTGGTTCTCCAACAACTCCGAGTGTCGAGCACAAGCCAAGAGTGCTGCTGCTAGATCCTCACGATGCTGTGAAACCATAGACACTCGATTCACATCCAAGTTCGTGATATGACGCAGCACTGACACAGCGTGGCATTGAGCACTGGGGTGCTTGGCTTCCTCGGCATCAAGTGCCAGTCTAATAAGAGGACCGCCGCTGTTACTGAGCTGGCCGATGAGTTCGTGGAGTGACTCGTTAGTGGCTATCTTGCCGAGCGCGAAGGCAGCGTAGAAGCGCGTTTCCATGTCGCTTACTGCGTCTAACGCTGCGATAAGTGCTGGTAAAACTCCGTTATCCACGAATGGTTCATGGTTCGCCTCGTTAGTGAAGATGCAGCCTAGCGCAAGCAAAGCGAACTGACGAGGCTCCGGGTGGTCGGTGTCGACGGCTAGCTCGATCAAAGGCATGACAACCTTCTCACGCAGTACTCTTGAATGGTTTTGCGGGTTAGACACGAGGTTTCCGAGGCCCACAACGCCAAAAAGCCGAGTCTTGGAATCTGTGTGCTGGATAGCGCGTACAAGGAACTCGTGACAGCCGTCGGCGAGCAGCAAGTCGTGGAGCGCATAGTTCGAAGAGAGGTTTGTAACACATTTGACTGCTTCACGCGCTACTCGAGCAGGAGATCCTTGCGTCTCAAATTCCAAGAAGAACCGCAGGCCGCGCTGGTCCGCAATAGCTGAATGGGTATCGGAGTTTTCTGCAATATTAGCGACGCTAGCGCTCGCAAACGCTGCTGTATCTTCGTCGCTTGACAGCATCAGCGTGATCAGCGCACCCATCAATGGGGAAGACGCAATAGCCAGCTTGTTCTTCTCAGCGAGTGACAAGTTGTACGCTGCCATCGTAACCTCACGGTGTAGCTGTACGTCGGGTGAACGCGCTCCAAGCACCAAGGGCTCCAGTCCACCTTCCGAAACAATGTGTAGACGCGTCTCCGGTCGATTGGACAGGCCACGAAGAGCAGCAATCGCCGTCTTCTGGTCGTTCACGTCGTCTGAACAAGCGAGCTGGATGATAGGGGGTAGACCGCCCATAGCTTCGACCATTTGTCTGCGATCCGGATTGGCCGCGAGGTTACACAACGCAAAGGCAATGCAGCGATGGGTTTCCAGGTCCACACTGTTAGATACCTCGATGAGGGGGGATACAGCGCCCGCTGCAACCAATTCATCTTGATACTCGGCTTTCGCAGCAATGTTACCCAATGTCACGGCTCCAAAGAGTCGATACGTAGCGTCAGCGGAGCACAGGAACGCCACCAGTGACTGCATCTCGCACGCCGCGATAAACACGTCGGGATACGCACCGACGCACCCACTGAGAGACAAATTGCACAGACACGCCAGCACTTCTTGTTGCACGTCCATATCCTCAGACTTGGTTAGTGCCAATAGTGGGCGCAAGACACCACGACGTACGAGTTCACGTCGTGCTAGCTCGCTCACGCACAGTCCACGCAATGCACACACAGCACGGTACTGGCACTTGGAGTCCTGCGACTCTAACAGACGCAGTAAAGCTTCCAGGAAGGCATCTCCAAGCTCTAAAAGCACTGTATGGTTCTCCGAGAACGCTGTGAAATTGGCAGCTCCGAACGCCGCGCCGTTCCTCAACGCCATGTCGGCGTGCTGTAGTAAATCTGCGAAGAGAGGGAGCACTCCAGCGTCAACAAGGACGGACTGCGTAGCACGTACGCTGGCGATGTTGGTGAGCGTGAAGACGGCATATCTCTGCGTGTCCAGATCGCCGTTCAGCGAGCCATTAGCGAGCGCCACAAGCGTTGGCACGAGTGCATCTTGCACAATCTTGGTGATGTTTTCGACGTTCGTGGAGAGATTCGCAATGCCCATTGCTGCATAGCGCTGGCTAAGGAAGTCTGGCGCGTTCAATGCAGCCATAAGCGGTGCCAGACCTCCAGCCGACACGATCTCAGCTGTGTACGCATATTCCGCTGACATGTTGGCGATCGTTCGAAGCGCTTCTCGCTGTACGTCCACGCTCTTCGCACGCAGCACAAACTTAATGTGCTGTAGAACTCCATTTTTCACCATTCGGCCTTGATTCTCCACTACCTCAGCCAGATTGGCAAGTACTCCACACGCCTGATGCGCAACTTCTCCATCCGCTGAGTGTACCAACGTCAGCAGAGGTGCTAGACCACCTTTGAGTACGATGACGACCTTGTTATCTTCGCTCAGGGATAAATTCCGCAACGCAGCACAAACCTCGCGCTGTACCTCGACACATTCCGACAACGCGAGCTTGAACAGCGGAGGAAGAGCACCAAACGATACGGCCTGAGCGCGATTCTTGGCTTCAACAACCATTCTTCGCAGAGCAAAACATGCTTGGAGATGTGTGTCCTCGTCAGCATCATGTAGCAGTGCAATAACAGTACGTAGCACACCCAACTTGGAGATCTGAGCACTGTTCGTTTCGTTGGCTGCTAAATTGTTCAGCGCAAAGGCAAGCGCACGACGAGTCTCGAGGTCTGTAGCCTTGTCCACCGTCATGAGTGCAGTCACAGCACCTTGATCAAACAAGTCGCGGTGATTCTTGTGATCCACTGCGAGATTTCCAATGGCCAACGTGCCGAATCGTCTACACATCGCGTCTTCGGTCTCCTGTGTAAACGCTGAGATGTAGCGCAGTGCATTGCTACGCAGTAGAGTAGCTTGACTTGACGGCTTGGCTGCAAACAAGGCAAGACAGCGAGAAACCTGGCGCTTGACTTCCAGCTCAGCACCCGTTGCTAAGGCGTACAGAGGCGTTAGCACGCCTTCTTCCAGCATCTTCTTGTGCGTGTGTCCTTCGATCATCTCAGCCAAGTTTGCTAGAGCACACACAGCCTGTCGCTCACGATACGAGTCTCGACTGCTCGCCAGAGCGATGAGCGCAGGCAGACATCCACCGCGAGCCATCGTGATCTTGTTCTCTTCACTCAGCGATAAATTTGAGAGCGTTGCAGCAACCTCACGCTGCACTTCGATGCTCTCGCTTGAGGCTGCTAGGATCAGTGGCTCCAGTGCGCCAAGACGTACCACTTGTTGACGAACAACCTGGTTCACTGAAAGTCCTCGAAGTCCAGCAATCGCTTGGAACTGCACGTTGGCATCTCCCGGGAACGCAAAAGAGATGATAGGTTGCAAACAGTTGACCGCTACGATCCGCTCGATATTGTTCGGGTTACTGCACAGATTGCCGACCGCGAAGATGGCGAACTGGCGGCACTTGACGTCACGGTGTTTCGCGTAACCAGCGAGAAACGTCAACGCCTTGTCCAGCAATTCCTCGTGGGTTGACGGCGAGACGGCTAAGTTGGCGAGCACCAGGAGACAGTACCGGATAACATCGTTATCTGCCAACGAACGCGGGTCCAAAGCTTCCTCAATACGCGCCAGGATGGGAGGAAGTACACCTTGCGCTAACAACTTGGGCTGGTTGTTCACGTTTGTTCCAAGGTTGCACAGAGCCATCGCTGCCATGCGCTGACAGTCCACCACTTCGCTTCCCAGTAGCTGTATCAATGGGGGTGCGGCACCTTGACGCAAGATCACTTCAGCGAAGTCACAGTTAGCCGATAAGTTCCCCAGCGCTCGAGCGGCTTCACGTTGTGCAATGATCCCTCCGTGTTGCAGAGCCTCCACGATAGGAGGAATGGCTCCGTTCGACACGAGGTGACTCTGGTTCTCCACGTCTTCGGCTAGGTTGGCCACTGTACAAAGCGCTTGTCGTTGAACGCCCACGTCTGTATGCTTGAGCGCTCCAAGAATCGGCGGCAAACCGCCACACTTGCAAATGTCGGACTTGTTGGCGTCTGCGAACGACAGCGTGCAGATAGCAGGCAGGACGTCCGCTTGCAGGTCGGAGCTCTGCGTTCGCGCGAGGAAAAGCACCGGCTCCAGACCACCTTCCTCGGTAATTTGCTTGCGCAGATCAGCGTTCAGCGCGACCTTGACGAGCGCGAAGGCTGCATACTGGCGAACTTCTTCGTCTGGAGCACTTGACAACGAGATAAGCAGCGGTAGCGAGCCTTCTTCGACGATGGCGCGGTGGTTCTCGACACAAGTCGCCAAGTTGGCAATGGCCAGGATAGCGAACCGCTGGATCTCCAACTCCACATCCTCTGACCGTGCAAGGGACATTAGCGGCTCCATGGCTCCACTTTCCATTAGCAGTTCACGGATCGCTGGGTTCGTAGCCAAGTTGCAGATTCCTAGTGCGCCAACACGTTGTGAAGCCATGTCGGGCGATAGCAAATACGAGATCAGTAGCTGATGTCCGCCGTGCTCGATGATGTCTTCGTGGTTCAGTCGGAAAGCCGAGAGGTTCCCCAGAGCGCGACCAGCTTCACGTTGTACCTCGACAAACTGAGAGCGCATCATGGCAATGAGAGGAGGCACTCCTCCGTCGGCGCAGATCTTCTCCTGATTTTCTTCCACCTCTGCAAGGTTGGCCAACGTAGCGCAACTCTGTCGAGCTAGCTCCATGTCTTCGGACTGCGAATGCGCGATTAACGGAGCCACGGCGCCGCTCTTAGCGATCTCGTACTTGGTTTCTTCACTCACTGACAAATTGCAGAGCGCAGCGCATGTCTCTCGTAAGATTTCCAGATCGTCAGACTGTAGCAGTAACACGAGAGGCTCCAGTCCGCCTTCCTGGAGAATTTTGACCTTGTTCGCCTCACTTACTCCCAGTCCGCGTAAAGCAGCAACAGCTTGGTGATGCACATCAGTGTCTTCAGACGACGCCAGGGTGATTATCGGCTGCAGCCCTCCTTCCTCCACCATACGCGTGTGATTTTGTTCGTTCGACGCGAAGTTCGCCAGCGCAAACGCCACATAGTACTGGCTCAGTGCGTCAGCCGTACTTGCCAATGAGAACAGGGACAGCAGACATCCAGCCTCTACCAGCGCTGGGTGGTTGGCTTTCATCGCAGCCAAATTCGCTATAGCGAGCACGGCGTATCGTCGCGCTTCAAGCTCGCGGTCGAAAGCTTGGGCGAGTGCGATGAGCGGTGTAATCGTCCCCAATCCGACGATCTGGACCTGGTAGCTCGCCGTCGTGCTCAGGTTCGCCAACGCTAACGCGGCGTAACGTTGACAGACGTGGTGGTCTAACACCAGCGCTGCAGCAAGAGGCTGTAGCACTCCTTCCTTCATCAGCGCAGGCTGTACTTCTTCGTTTGCTGTGAGGTTGGCGAGACATCGACAAGCCTCTGAGCGTGTGTTGAGATCCCTGGCCACTGCCAACGCCATAATAGACGCCAGTCCGTTCTCGCGCAGTAGTTTATCGTGCAGTTCATGCAGCTCCGTCAAGTTGGCGATCGTACTGCATGCATACTCCTCAACAGCAGGATCACCCGAGAGCGACAGCGAAATAATCGTCAGCAGCGCTCGATCCGAGATCTCCACTTTGTTTTCTGGGGTAGCTGAGAGAGCACAAAAGGCCGCTGCGACTTCACGCTGGAGGTCAGGCTCATCTGAGCGTGCCATGAGCACTAGTGGATCCAGCATGCCTTCCTTTACCACAACAACTCGATTCCCTGGAGAGATACAGATGCCGCGAAGACACGCAAGGGATTGCCGCTGCGCACTCAATTCCTTGCAGCATGCCAACGCAATGAGGCGTGGTATAGCGCCTTCTTCGACGATCTGGGGACGATACTCGTTGTTTACTGACAAATTCGCGAGTGCAAACGCGCAGTAGACACCGGAATGGACAATCTCCGGGTCCAGCAGCTTGACCAACGGCTCAATTGTGCCTAGTTGTACGATTTCTTCATGATTCTCGGGCTCGGCCGCCAGGTTACCGATAGTCATGGCAACGTACTGCTTGGCGACTGCATCATTCTCGCTGTCTTCGTCCTTGAAGAACTTGACAAGTGGTGGCAGCACACCATCCTCTACGATTCGAACGCGACTTGCCGGACACGATGCCACGTTCGCCATGCACAGGCAGGCGAGACGCTGTGCTTCAGGGTCACTAGACTGGATAATCAGCGTCAACAAGGCCTTCACCACGCCTTTGGATACCATCTTTTCGTGGAGTTCAGCATTGGTCGATATTTCAGCCAGGCTGAAAGCCACATCCCGCTGCTCGGTCGGTTTGCGCTCGCGACGTCCGCGCGCAATCAACTGCTCTAACACCTTGGACATTCTCGTTAGTATATGTGTTTCTAGTGGAGGTCCCTACAGAGCGAATACATCATTAGCAGCACAAATGGTGTCCCCTCACGAAAGTTTGGAAACCGTCAAAGGAACAAATTGAGGCACGAGTACATTTTCAAGTGAAGTAACTCGTACATGCTACCTTTACTCGGTAGGTGGGCCGAACTCCTCTGTAATGCGTTGGAGGTGATAGCTTCTGGCGTCGGGGGCGTTCTTGCAATAGAAGTTTGAAATAAACGACTCGATCTGTAGAATATAAGATAAATAGTTAGTTTTCGTTACTGCGAAAAGATGTTAATACGTGTGTCGTACCTGCGATCGGAAAAACGACAAGGAGGAACTGGTGATATGCACACGGCAGAATTGGTGGAGATGTGTCCTATACGAACAACGAGAACCATAAGTTGGTGATACACGTGGCTAACAGTTCACAACGAGCATGTTCACGCTCACCAGTGCGACTTGTTTGCGTCAGCTTTGTACACAGAGAAGTCTTCCAGCACACCCAGCGACTGGAAAGACTCGTTCTTGACGTATACATAGAATAGCTGGCAAGATTGGCTTTGTTAAATTCCGAGAGTATCAACCCAGAGACTAGAGGATAATGAACGTACGCGGTTCTGCTTGTCGAGCAGCGAGTCTTCGAAGTACTCGACGAAGTCAGAGCTGGCAAACCGCTTGATTAGAGAAGGGGCCTCGTTCCTGCAGAAGTAGTTAGTCAACGTATTCGCAAATGACACACATATCGATTCTGTACCGGAATCGCAGCAGTCGGCGTTTAAAGACGGCGCAGTATTCATCCAGATGCCGTTCCTCGATCACTTCAATCGAGTGCAACAGGCGACTGGCCGGGTCTGGTAAGGGCTCTTTGAATTTACGGTAGTACACGTCTGCAGTCTGTAATCCACCGAATAAAGCATTAGTCCTAGTCACCCACACACTCCAGTCTCCTCTAAATCCAAACCTGTTCTACAGTGTACGGAATCGTGGCGTTATGGTCGCCAAACTGGAACGCGTCCTGATCCTCTGGCAGCCCCAGCATCAAGCGCGGCACACTATATCCCTCCTCTGGCTGACGTACGACCTGGACGCCATGCTTGCGAAGAAATACATCCAACTCCACTGGTGCCCGACGGCGGCGTCTGCTACCTCGAAAGCGTGCAGTAGACGCAACAGAAGAGACCTGCAGTCTATCTGGCCACGGAAAGCTCTACCATATCAACCGAACACGGTTTCAGCTCAGCCAATAAACATTTGAGATACCTTACAGTCCAGCCGCACCTTAGACCTCAACACGATAACGATAAGGTAACCCAGGGCGAACCACAGTAGTGGTGAGAGCTTCTGCATCAGCTCCTCGTCGGCCGTGACGTATATCCAGGGCTGTGCCACCTTGATGGCGACTAAGAGCGCGGCTCCGGTCGCCAGATACAGCAGCAGCTGCATCAGCTGCGAGCTGCGTCCAGGAGCCTCTTGTCTGGGTCGTGTACTGGGTGTAGCCTTAGTTGGAGGCTCCACAACCTTCTGCTCTTCAACTGCAGCTTGGAAACTTGGTAGCAGCGTCTTAACCAGCTGCACGTACCGGTGCTTGGCGTCCTGGAGCGATGTGCCTTTCAACTTGCGCCAGCTCTCCCTAAACCCATGACACGCATGAGTTAAAAAGCTGTGAACTAGCTCTAAAAGAACAGACTATTTCGTGCAGACCATTTTGCGCGCTCTACTGGACGGAAGGCGCTAGGAGCTGCCACGCTGCAGTCACCTACTGTCGCCTGCTTGAACAGTCCATACAGCTGCAGCTTGTGCGTGTCGCTCACGGCTACATTAGCCGCCTTGAGCTCCGCCGCTGCGCGCTCGAACACCGCTGCCATCAGATCAGCTTCAACTCTGCCACAGCAATCTGCGCGACACAATGGGAGATACAAAAAATGTGATCGATATCTTTTATAGTCCTACATGTATACATGAACTGTGTACACACATGTATACTTCGTAAATTACCCATCATAGCCGCTCATGGCACGCGCAACTTTGTTTCATTCACCAAGTTTCCTGACAGTGCTCAAGTAACCTCTGCTGGCCATGAACTTCCTCCACTCTAGCCTGCACCACCCCGCGCAGCGCGCCTGGAGCGAGCCGCATTTGCACCCGTCGCAGCTCATGTACCCGTTGTTCGTGACGCTGCGAAGCGAAGACAAGCCGATTCGCGGACTCGAGCCGGAGCTGCAGTGGGGCCAGGGTCCTAACGGCGACTACGCCTCGCTGGTGGCCCATCTGCGTGCCCTCATGGCCAAGGGTCTGACCAACGTTATGCTCTTTGGTGTCGTGGAGGACAAGGACGCTCGCGGCTGCATGGCCGACGACGAGGCCACGCCCGTTATCAAGTGCACCAAGGCACTGCGCAAGGCGCTTCCCGAGCTTATGGTGGCTTGCGACGTCTGCATGTGCGAATACACGGACAACGGTCACTGCGGTATCCTTCGCGAAGTGGACGGCGAGCAAGTGCTGGACAACGAGCGCACTCTTGAGCGCCTCAGCAGCATCGCTCTGGCCTATGCCAAGGCTGGAGCGCACATGGTTTGCCCGTCCGACATGATGGACAACCGCATCGGTGCCATCCGCAAGATCTACAACGAGAACGGCTTCGAGCACGTGTCTATCATGGCCTACACATCCAAGAAGGCCTCGGTCATGTATGCACCCTTCCGCGACGCCGTCGAGTCCACGTTCCAGGGAGACCGCAAGCGCTACCAGCACCCCGTGGGCAGCACGAGCCATGCTGCACTGGCGTTCGAGCGCGACGTGCAGCAGGGCGCGGACAGTGTCATCGTTAAGCCGTCGCTCTTCTACTCGGATATCGTGGCTAACTTCGCCGCTAAGAAGATGGTACCTGTTGTGTGCTACCTCGTGTCAGGCGAGTACAAGATGGTCAAGGACTACGGTGACTCCACCAACTCGCTTGAAGCTGTGGTGCGCGAGGCCCACCTCGGTCTGCTGCGTGCCGGTGCCAGCGTGCTTATCACGTACTTCACCCCATACATCCTGGACCGCTGTGCCAAGTGGTAAAAGACGAAGCGTACAGACACGACCAACACTCTGGCTGCCTTTGCGTTGTAATAATCGATCTTTCCTGCAGGCCATTGGGGTCTTCGCCAACACCTCCGCCTTGTTGACAACAATTTGTTGTGAATCAACTTGAGATGAATATATGTGATGTGTGCAGACTCATGTTATTAAAGTTTCTTTTCCACCAATCCTCACTCGCCATCAAATGATTTCCAATTGTATGGCCCCCATACGCAAACACACCACATTACTATGGAGGCGCAGGCGTTGACGGACAAGATTGTGGCCACTGGCAACGCCATCCGCGAGCTCAAGGCGGCCAAGGATGCGGCTAACGCCGAGGCGATTACTGCCAAAGTTCAGGAGCTGTTGGCGCTCAAGGCCGAGTTTAAGACGCTGACGGGTGCTGACTATACACCTCCACAGCAACCCAAGAAGCAGAAGGAGGCTGCTCCGTCCGCTGCTCCTGCCGACGGTGAGGCCCCCAAGAAGTCCAAAAGCCAGCTCAAGAAGGAGAAGAAGCTGGCCGAGCAGGCGGCCAAGAAGGCCGCGGGTGGCTCTTCCAAGGCCGGCAAGCAGAAGCAGAAACAGAAGCAGGCCAAACCCAGTGAGAGCGCGAAGCCCGCCGAGAGCGCCGCCGTTCCGTCTGACGCTGAGCTACTGCTGCGCCAAGCCGAGTTCCAGCATCAGGTGCTGAGCTCGGGCGCGGCCAGTGGCGCCCAGGTCGTGACCCCGTGGGATGTCGAGGCGGAGGACGGTGTGGACTACGACAAGCTCGTGGAGCAGTTCGGTAGCACTAAGATCCCGCCCGAGATGGTCGAGAGGATGGAGCGACTCACTGGCCACAAGGCCCACCGCTACTTGCGTCGCGGCTACTTCTTTTCGCACCGTGATCTGGACGTGATCCTGGATGCCTATGAGAAGGGCGAGAAGTTTTTCCTGTACACTGGCCGTGGCCCGTCGTCGGGCAGTCTGCACATGGGTCACTTGATCCCATTCACCTTCACGGCCTGGTTGCAGAAGGTGTTCGACGTTCCTCTCGTTATTCAGCTGACAAACGATGAAAAGTTTCTGTTCAAGGACCAGACACTCGAGGAGAGCGAGGTGATGGCCTGGGAGAACGCCAAGGACATCATTGCCTGTGGTTTTGACGTTAAGAAGACCTTCATCTTCGCCAACACGGACTACATCAAGGAGATGTACCCTCAGATCCTCAAGGTGCAGAAGTGCGTCACGTACAACCAGGTGCGCGGCATCTTCGGCTTCACTGGATCCGACAACATCGGCAAGTCGGCCTTCCCAGCTGTCCAAGCCGTGCCTTCTTTCTCGGAGACGTTCCCCGTGGTGCTTGGTGGACGCAAGGGTCTGCGTTGCCTGATTCCTCACGCCATTGACCAGGACCCATACTTCCGCATGACGCGTGATGTGGCGCCGCGCATTGGCTACCTCAAGCCTGCTTCCATGCACTCCAAGTTTTTCCCGGCACTACAGGGTAGCACCACCAAGATGAGCGCCAGTAAGGCCAGCACCACCATCTACATCTCGGACTCGCCGGAAGACATTGCCAACAAGATCAAGAAGTACGCCTTCAGGTAAGCTATGGGTCACTTTTTATCTCTTCGTGTGTTGATGTGCAGGTATCTAACTGCCTTGGCGTTTATTTACTTTACTTACAGCGGCGGAGGTGAGACCAAGGCCGACCACGAGAAGTACGGCGCCAACTTGGAGGCCGATATTCCGTACCAGTACCTGTCGTTTATGCTTGAGGACGACGAGGAGCTTGAACGCATTGGTCGGGAGTACGGCGCCGGCCGCATGATGTCGGGCGAGGTGAAGCAGAAGCTGATCGATGTCATGGCCGAGTACACGCTGGACTTCCAGAAGCGTCGTGCCGCCATCACTGACGACCTGGTGTCTGAGTTCATGAGCGTGCGCCCCCTAGAGTTTTAGGCACCGTTAGCTCCATGTTGTATTTGGCCAACTCGTACACTGCAGCTATCGTAGCAGTGCTATGGAAACAAGTGCCACTTTTTGCGCCTGCGTCTTGTATTTATGAGTTACTGTTGAGTATCCTCGCCATGCAGACGCGTATGGGCTCAAAAAGCGCGGATTTGGATTCCACTGAAGCACTACAACACTGTCGACATCACCAAGACGCGGAGATTTACTTCGGAAGCACAACCAAAACTGAAGTGTGGCAGCGGTGATCTTGGAGGAGACGGCCTTGCTGCACGAAGATGAAGGCACGGGTACAGGGACACATACATGCTGCATCTGCCCCACTGCCGTCCTCCACTTTCACCGACAAGAGTTGGCAATTTAACGCGTTGGCTCATCATCTGAGATTGAGTTCAACGACTCAGGGATGCTCCAATACACGTTACCACTGGGACTCCAGCTGCCAGGTTTTGATACAACGCTAGCCACGATTGGATTACCTGGCAACAACACACAAATTAAGCGCCTGACTCAAAGCTATAGATGTGAACACACGCGCATTGCCTCACCTCGTGCATGCGAAAGCAGTTGCAAATGCTTCGTCCAGGCTTAATCGGGTCCGCGACGTACGGGATGACAACCGAGCATTGCATGGGGACTATTTTATCCAGTGGGAGCAGGAAAAAATCTCTGCAAGCAGCCAGCAGTTCAGAACACGTTATAATTTTCGTAATAATCACACTCAATGGACTGTGCTTACGAACCCTTCGTTTTCGATGGAGATGCCGAATCGTCGGTAGTCAAACGTGATGTACGTTTCCAAAAAGAGCGTCAAGAGACTGCCGATCCCAGTGTACCATGTCACGCGTCCACCACGCGAAAACGTATAGCACCACTTTGGTTGCACTACAGCATCGCTGAGACTCGAGACGTAGGCCAGCTCTTCTGGAAAATCAGACACTGATGCGTTCTCCGAGTAGCTTCTTCTGCGATTTCCACCGCGGACTTTGCCGCCAGTATTGCTCGCAAACGATCTCACGTGGGTGTCGCCACATGCCTATCGACAGCAAACCAGTGAGTAGCATTCGTACAAAATTGATTATGATCGTTTGCAGATTCATTGGCCATACCTGCAAAAAGCGAACTACCAAAATCACCAGGACGTATGACGAGATTCCACCCGTAAATGCGCAGTTCAAGTCTACAGCCCACAACAGTTGCAAGACACGAGTTAGTGCTGACAAGTAAGCACGATATACGGTACCTTCACCTACTGTTGTTGACGAGGTGGCTTTTCAAAATCAACACCAGAGGGCGCAACGCTGGCATCTCTGTTTGCAGCGAATAAATAAGGTCTCGGGCGCCCAGTCCAGTGTGGCCAACAGAATGACCGCATGTAAGGTCAAGCAGCACGTCTTGTTCTGTTGGATTGAGAGAGTACGTCATCTTGAGAACGGGGATTTTAGCACTTCCAAGCAGCTCGAGTTTCTTCGTCCATGGCTGACGCTCAACCTCAGCCGCCAGTGCCTCTAAAATCACCAACGGTCGCTCTCCTGCCAACGAACGCGCAACCAGCACGCAGTCGATGTCGCTGACTGGCAATGCAAGCTGTGTATAGCTTGATCCGTAAATGTCGATCAAAGCATCAGGCCACAAGGAGCGCACCAGCTCCTGTAAGGAATCAATAGCCTGCTGTTGATGCGTTTCCATCAAGGCCAGCGTCGTGTCAACATAATCGACAAACGCTTCCGCTTGTCTGCTGAGATTGCTAAATCAGCATTATGAGCACGAGAATTAGCGTCATTAAGCAAAAACTAATGAGGTGGTAGTGCTGTACCTGTGAAATTGCTCCTCTGCTAGATATCGGGTGTACGACGGACTCATTGAATGCAGCTGCTGCGCTGCACTCACAGGGTGCCGGTAGTACTGCTGCTCTCGTAGCAGAAGCTGCTGTTCTGCACGTATAAGATCTGCGTCACGGTCGGCTTGATTCAATAAATAGTTCCGATTGAGATAAAATTCCGCTGAATCGCGGTTCGACATTGTGCCACCTGATGCACACTTACGCAGGCGCATATTCTTCTTGCGACGCTGATTCTGTTGCGACATTGGTGTCTGAAGTTTGGAGTCAGCTTCCTCGTTTTCTGGCGTCATCGTCTCTTCATCGGAATACCTGTGCTCGTCGTTGCATCCACTCTCCTCAGTAACTTTAGAAGTTGTAGATACGTGCTGCTTACGTTCGGATGGCTTTACCGTGCTTTGCTTGAGGACAGCATCCTTAAACAACAGTTTCCCACCAGGCAAAGCAGGAGCTTCATCGGACTGGTTGTCCTGCGACTTGAAGTGGTTTGCAAACGAGGAAGCTCGTTGTCGTTGCGGAGGCAAGTCGAACAGCGAGGAAGGTCGAGCTGGATCACGTTTAGGCATCCTGTAAAAGATACAACAATGGAAAACGTAAGCAGAGTGTCCATTGTGTGATGCCCGACACAATCTAGCAGGTAGCGAACAGCCACCTACCTGCGCAGACGTGAGCGACGATAGGACAGAGCAAATAGGCACGAGTGAAAGCACCACTTACGGAGGAGGATTCACAGGACGTGGATGCTGTCGCTGCGGGTAGTTTTGATGCATTTGTCGAGGCATAGCGTATACACCAGACCAAATAGGGTCGTCGTAACGTGTAGTCCTGCAAAAAAAAAGAGAATCAAGAAAGTATCAGTTAGTCATATTCCCACTTCATATCAACACTTGTATACGTCCTTACTCGTAGTAGGCGGGGTAGTAAGCTCCGAGATCGTGTGAGTAGCGGCAATTGTCCCCAAAGGAGCAGCCATACCCCGACACAAACCTGAGGCAAGGCTGATTGTGCTTTCTAAACTTGTTGTTCTTGTTGTTGTGCCGATGGACTCCTGAGTGGCGATACTGGTGATGCCTTTCTTGGTCGTCGGATGGCGGACTCGGCGGTGTGAGCACCGCACGAGGAGGAGGCGGGGGTGGCCACCGATGCTCAGGCATGTCTGTGAACTCCTTGTCGTCGAAGTGGCTGCTGGGCGTCTCGTAGGCACTTGCTACTGCCACTTCGCCCCGTTGCATGAATCTGTTCTGAATCACAATCGATGAACCCCGTGTCGTGCGGTTCGGTTGGCCAAATGAAGAGTGTGTGTACGCGTTGCCTTGCTCGGCCTGTTGCCTGTGGCTCCTTCTCGTTCAAAAATCCAAACGACAAACGGGGCCGGCGGAAGGTGCAGTGCTGTTGATATTGAGACTTTGAGAAAAAAGAAGGAAGAGGCGGCTGTGCCTCACACCGCAACGGAGTCCCCAAAGTCACAGGCGGAAGACTGCGGACAGGAAGGCGTCCGCACTTGAGTCCCAAAGTCACAGAGACGGAAGACTGCGGCCGGGAAGGCGTCCGCACAGGAAGGGACACACGAACACTTTTTTTCTATTGAAAGATCGTTTTTACAGCCCAGAAACCCCATAAAAACTAAGGGGTTTTTCGACATAAAAAACGGATGGGTTTTTTCGGGCTGAATGACTAATTCCACCGTTAAAAGAGCATGCTTGACAATTGAAGAGCATGTTGTTATTCAAATGTAGGGAAACTCAGATCCGGTCTGATTCGGCTGATTCCTAATGTTTTGTTTGGAATCAGCCGAATCAGACCGGATCTGAGTTTCCTACATTTCAATAGCATCTGATTCGAATAAGATGCTCCTTACTTGTACAAGCATGTATAAGAGCACTGAAGCCATCCAGGTTACGCTTCGGCGTACCCCCGCATTTCGACTTTGTGCATTAAGTACGCACTTCAACTATTAGAAAATGATTGACGAGGTTGTTACATGTTACCGGCGCGATACTCCTCGAGCTTCTCCAGAGTACCCGTCTCGAGGAACTCGTCGATCTTAGCGGCAGATGATTTACCTACACCCTTGAGTTTAAGCGCGTCTTTGCCGCATGTGAGCTTCGTCTCGCAGTCTCGGATGGCCTTGGCCACCTTGGACCACGTGCCGCCTTTGAACTTCTCGCCGCGCTTGAACTCGAAGCCCGAGAGCTCAGCAAAGGCGTCGGCCAAAGCCTGGTTGTCCTCGCACGTAGCCTCGGCCTTCTTACGGGGTTTCTTGGTCTTCTTCTCGTCCTCATCGGCGTCGTCACCATCTTCGTCCTTGACTTCGGCGCTCTTACGCTTACGACCAGTCTTCTTCTCTGTCTTAACATCCGTCTTTCCCTTCTTCTTGGGAGATGCCGATTCTTTTACGCCAAACTTCTTGATCATCTCCTGCGAGGTGCAATAGACCACAGCGGAGTCAGCATCATTGGCACAATAATAACAACCATGGTATGACGCACCTTCAGCGCTGCGTCCAATTGGAACTCGCCCTGATAATTAACACAGCATATTAGACTACTAATTCGCTAGATTAATGCATTGATTGCAGCCTCGTACATTCTCGCGCGTGGCGTTGAGCATCGTGCCAGCTTCGACGGCAGCATTCACTGGGTCCTGTGCAATTGGGAACCAATATTAAAAGGAGAGCTGTAAACACGTGGACAGTAGGTTAGCTGTCACACGTACCGTCGGGATCTTGACGCCCTCCTTAGTGCAGAGCGCCAGCAGCTCCTTGGCCGCTTTCTTGCTCGCCTCACGACTCGACATGGTTTCTTTCTGCTTAGAATTTTTGGCGGGAATGCGCAGCTATCAAATGGCAAATTCGATTAGACAGGTTTGGATCGGCAAAGTCACTTTGATGTGATTCGCTGTGCTAATCCAATATTCTCAACTCACATCCAATCATCATGATGAATAAAAGCGAAATTATTCACATCAAATTCAACTTTTTGAATTCACGTTTCATTTTGCAGGAGGACGCAGGCATGTCGTCGCCGCCACCAGCGTTGCCTGCGAGCGACGCGTCCAGCAGCAGCGTCACGGACAGCGGCACCGATGTGTCCACGCCACCGAACTCTCCTGCTACTAGACCCGGCTCCGCGCCGGCCCGACCTCCCGCTGCAACGTCATCCGCATCGTCCGTGTCGACACCATCCCCTCCGCCTAATTTGCCAGCACGTCGACCGTCCGTAGCTCCCGTCGGGCGTCAGGCCGCCATCCACGCCACCCCCACTGCCCCGAGACGCAAACGCAAGGCCACACCACCGCGTCGACGTCCCAGTAGCCCAACCACAGCAACACAGACCGTCAAGAGAAGGAGGAAGCCCGGCGAGGTGGCGCTTCGGGAGATCCGATTGCTACAGCGCTCCACAAAGCTGCTGCTGCGAAAACTTCCCTTCGCCCGTGTGGTGAGAGAGATCCAGACGGAGTTCACGGGTGTGGGTTACCGCTGGCAGGCTGAGGCACTGCTGGCGCTACAGGAAGCAGCCGAGACGTACCTTGTCCGCACCTTCGAAGACGCGTACGTTGGCTATACGAGCGGTTGTTGGTGAATATGTTGGCTGATTCTACTATTTGTTGCGTTATTAACCGCAGGAACTTGTGTGCCATCCACGGCAAGCGCGTGACGCTGCAGGTGAAGGACATTCAGCTGTCGTTGCGAATTCGTGGTATTCGACCGACGGCTTCGTAAGGAACGATGTCGAAGATTATTCAGGCGAAGTTATGAGGACTGTTTTTGCTTATTTTTGGGGTTAATTGGGCGTGTGCATACACTAAGGCTGACTTGGTGGTGATCTGAATCCTTCTTGGGTCTGCTTAGTGTGCAATGGTGTCATATTCGAGTGGTGCGTACATTGATGCAGGGAGTATCCATATGCGGTGCTGTGGGTCGCATCATCAATGCGCACTGGAAACCCCCAGGGACAAAAAGTCGTGTTGAAGCGGTCTTGTTACCCGTCAACCACATTGTTTTGGGCAATCGCTTTACTGAAGACGGCAGCTTTTGTCAACGGTTGTCATGGTCGCAGTGTAAAACGGAGACTTGATGGTGCTCACAATCAGAGTTTTACGGTGGGCTTGGCATCACAACAGGTAAAACTTTTGACGGTGAACCAGGCCACGCTTCCGTTCCCCTGAAACGACCCTGAAGCCGTTGAAGAGAGGCACGAGGTTTCAGAGGTTTGGAAAAGGTTGGACGTCCAAGACGGCGTTTAGCCAGACCTTGTCCGATTACAGCAAGAGTCCCCAAACACTGATAACATCCACAGACAACGATACATAAGTGGTTGCACTATCACAAAGTAGACATACAGCAACCAGCCACGTACCAACGAGTGGCCGCTGCGTTGTGGGCAATAATGTTGACAGCACGGCAATCCAGATGTGCATCTGCGCAAACAACGATCACATGCGTCAGTAATGCGGCGAAGACTCCATTGTGGCCTGCAAAGTAAATCTGAAGCTTACTCCCGTGAATCAAACAACTTCTTGGCAGTTTGTTTCCACTCTGCAACAACTTCTCTTGCCTCTTTTCCGCTCGGTATCGGACCGAGCTTAATTGCCACCTCATACTCGCTTTCAGGATCCAGGAACTGGTAGTCTTGGAACAGTTCCTACGGTCAACACAAACAGCAGACAAGATTATCAGATCTAATGAAGGGGGTTCCCACGTTATCAATGAAATGGCAACGAACCTGCTCGCTGCTCATCTGGTCTTCATACTTATTGCCTGGTTCTCGTTCCCATATCCGTTTGACTGCAACGTAGGGAGGTAGCCCAGAAGAGCAAGCTCCTGTAAGATATGCCTTCAAAGTCGCAGGCTCCTTTCCATCATAATTGCGATCTGCGAATACAATTATGAACATGAATTGAGATACTTCAACATTAGAGCCCTATGTTAGCATTAAACTCACCCAGCTGGATCTCACGAGTCTGCGCGTCGTAATCGACCGCAAAGTATTCAGCGGGGCCGATCGCAAGGCGATCTTCCAACGGAAAATACTTGGAAGCATCCTCTGATGCGACAGCAACATTGCTCTCCGGTGTTACCGTGATAGTTCCTGGGAAAGCGTGCGTCGAAGGCTTGAATAGGACGGCATAGTACCAAACGTCTCGAGTCTTGGCGACGTATGTAGTCTGATCAGCATAGCACAACGCAGAGCGAGAATCTATAGAGAGCGACGAGGAGGAAGATGATATCGACCACTTGCGGGATGATACCACAGCATTCTCTGTAGTGTTCCCCATGATCACATCTTCGTCAGTTGGTGTCGGTGTGTCGTTCGACTGGGTGTCAGTTTGTGTCGGTTCCGCCATTTCCAGCTTAAGTCCTTGTATCAGCTTCGAGAGCACTCCAACCCACGACGGGCCAGCAAGCGCTCCAGCGGCAAATGTAGGCGAAATGAGCGACATGCCATAACCATCCGCCTCGATCTTGAGATCGCTAACAAAATCCGCGTCCCAGTAAATAGTGCTCGCAAAGACTGTCTCCAATCGAACCACTTGACAAGCAGGCACTACATCAAACAACACTGGGACCCGCTCTTGAAGTACTCGATCAAAATCGACATTTTCTTCTTTTCCTGACACACAACATCGCACTCGGTTACGATAGTCGTACAAGAAGATGAGTTAAGGATAGATCACCTTCTAACAATGTGTTCACCAATGCCCGAGTCTGACGCGTAAACGCATTCGAGTGCGTTTCCAAAGTAAACCGCGACAGTCCCCTGAGGAATAGAGCAGACGCAAGCGCTTTCTGTCGTATGAATTGCCATAGCATAGTATGAGAACCAGCACGTTGCTGGAGACAAACACAGTACTTACAGATAGCGGAATCGATTCTGACTTGGAGACCATGCCTGATACAGTCAAATGCACAATTCCGTCAGCAAAAATGCACCACACACTCAACAATAAACAGTGTACGCCGTACTGCGCAGTGCCGTGCGTTCAGCATCCACAAGTGTTTGCATGGCTTCCTCCGGCGGCCGCGACAGTGTCCGAATAAGTGACAGCGCAGTAAGACCGGATCTGTCCTGAGCTAGTGGATCAGCTCCCCTCTCAAGCAACGCTTGAACCACCTATCCGGCACAATCCACCATCATTTAGCCACACTGCTACAACCTACTCAATTTGAATCCGAATTCACCTCTTGATAGCCTCCCATCGCTGAAACATGCAGCGGCGTCTGCCCAAACTGTCATCACCACGCCAATACATCAGCACATAGAACGTCGAAGTAAACACAATCTCTGCCGCTCACCACGTCCCGGACGTTCGGGTCGAAGCCCACTCTGTCCACCAGCAAGTGAACGAGCTTGACCTTGACGCTCTGTCTCGCTGTAGATACCCCGACAGCCACGTGAAGCAGCGTAGCCCCCGCCTCGTTGCGGATTGTCCGTAAATCCAGCTTCCAATGCCTCAGTCCGTCCCGCGTGGGGATTGAGCCCGTGTCCAAGTACGTCTTGAGCACCACCGTCTTGCCGGCACTGGCTTGGTCGAACAGCGCGTGCAGGACTCCGTTGGCAGAACCTTTGGCCGTCGCATACTGCGCCGCCTGTCGGAAGGCCACGTCCTCGTCTTCGCGGCGCGTCACTGCGGCCAGCAGCTGCGCTCGAAGATGCGCGACCTGTAGCTGTAGTACTTTGGGGTCTGAGAAAGAAGGCTCGGCCTTTGGAGGGCTGGCGAAACCTGAGCCTGTGGGGGACAGAATCTGACGGCATGAGATCTCAAGGTGTTGCAGGCGGTGCTGCGCCTCGTCCATCATATCTAGCAGCGAGCGGTCGGTAGCTTCGCGATCAGCGGCGGAGCGCGCCGAGGATACATTCCCTAGCGCGGACATGATTCCAACTGGATACGAAAAAAACGGTGGAGAAGGATTCTGATTGGTTCGAGTGGTAGTAGGGGATGGGAGGGTAGAACGGACAGATTCGAAGGTAGTCTGTGCTTGTCAAGCACTGCTTGACGGTCAAGCACACCTTGACCAGCATCGCCAGCTGCGCGCACCAGTTGCTAGCCGACCTAGAAATGCCAACGGCATTGGTGTCCAAACTCATAGCGCTGCACAGCACCTCTGTTGGCTGTGTTCATGTGCCTACACGCTGAGATCGAGTGGAGAGTCTCAACTTGAGACTCCCACACTGTCACTGTGGGAGTCCACCAAAAAAAACGCGGGAATGATCACTCATGACTTGCGCCGGTCAGAGTCTGACTCAGACCAGGCCAGTTGCACAGTCCAGGATAAGCTACAGGTTCAGTATGTACATGCATGTGAGTCCTTACTGGAGCACGACTACAGGACTTACATTACGTAGGACTCCTCTTCATCAGGCCGCGAGGCGGGATCTTCCAAGTGCGCTCCTCGATCATCATCTTGATGAAGGGGCTCATGGGCAGCGGGGATCTTCTGCCCCACGCGAATTGCGACAGGCGAGGACGCCAGAACTTGGACGGCAGCCACCACAGATCAGCGCTTCATGCACACGAACATGTCCTCCGTTTTTGCTTGTCTTGCTTCAGTCGGCGCGAACGTGTGGGCCGCTCGTCGCGGATAGTGCTGCCGGCTTATCCACGGCTGCGGCTGCGGCAGCAATGTCTACGATAGACTGGCATTGACCATGTAATAGCTGTTCCTCGTTCAAAGGCTCCGAATCGAGACATCTCGCAAAAAGATGTGACTCACTTCAAGCTTCTCCGCACACTTCAACAGATGATCCGAAAACAGTCGGACAGTACCGCACAGAGCCAGGTCGGATTCCGCGACTATGCAACTCTTTACCGATATTCCAACCGGTTTCCGCCTTCACGCCGCGACTCTGCACTCTTGATCTTTCGTCCCCCGCACTCGCCACTAAGGAATAAGCTTTGAGAAGGGCGACTGGCAGTATGGGGAAGCACAAGAAGCCCCGGCCGCAACGAGCGGTCGCTGGGCCCTCCCCTGCGCCTTCGCTCGACAACAATGCGGCCGAGACGCAGCAGCAGGACGTCGTGGAGGTCAAGCAGCAGAAGGTCGCGTCGCAGAGCTTCGGGTCGCAAGTGGAGGCGCTGGCGCAGCTCCTGTTGGACGCGAACGCGCCCGCCGTCGGCGTGGACGTAAGCGGCTGCGTGACGGTGTGGAACAAGCGGCTGGCCGATATCACGGGCTTCCAGGCCGAACGCGTGCTGGGCCGCCCCATCTCCGACTTCGTGTACGGCGCACAGCGCAAGAGCGAGATCACAGCCGTCGTGGCCGCTTGCGTGGCCGACAAGAGGCCGGTGCTGGAGCTACGCGTGCCGCTGCTCACGACCACGGGGAGAAACGCCGAAGTGCTGACCAACATGACACCGCTGTTGGCCGAGGATGGCACGTGTGTTGGCGTCTACGGTGTCGGCCAGGACGTGACGGAGTGGGCGATCCAGGAGAAACAGTACGCCACCGTCATGATGCAGGCCAACGCGCCCATTATCGAGCTGGACAAAGAGGGAAATATCACCGTGTGGAACACAAAGACTGAGTCTATGACAGGCTATTCCAGTGTCGATATGCTGGGCGAGCCGCTGCTGCCTGTCGTGGACAAGAGTTTCCGGAAGATCGTCTCGGAGAAGATTGAACAGGCACTCTCGGGTATTCCAGGTACAGATTTTGAGCTGCCCTTGGTGACAGCAAGAGGATCAAGAGTCGAGATTGTGTTGTGCTTAACGCCGAGATTTGATACTCTGGGGTCTGTGATGGGAGTTGTTGCGATCGGACAGGATGTAACAGAGCGAAACACCAAGGAGATGGAGTACAGGAAGCTGATCGAGACGGCCAATGCGCCGATCTTTGGTGTGGATACGGAGGGTCGCGTGGTGATCTTTAACGCCAAGGCGGCGCAAATCAGTGAGTACGCACCCGAAGAAGTTATGGGCGTGGATCTGGTTGATACTCTCATCTCGGAAAAATTTCGGTCAGAAGTGGCTGCAGTATTTCAGAGAGCGTTTCAGGGAATTGAGACGGCGAACTTTGAGTTCCCCTTGGTCACCAAGACTGGCCGAAAAGTGGAGCTTCTGCTGAACGCTACACCGCGCTACGATCATACAGGACACCTCGTGGGTGTTGTCGGAATTGGACAGGATATAACGGACCGTATTATCCAGGAGAAGGAGTACAGCCGACTGATCGATACCGCCAATGCCCCCATCTTCGGTGTTGACTGCAACGGCGAAGTGATCATTTGGAATAAGAAGGCGGCAGCGATTACAGACTACACAAACGAAGACACCATTGGCCAGAAAATCTTCAAGTTCATATCTGAGGACTATCGTGATGCCGTCGGCAAGGTGTTATCGAAGGCTTTGGAGGGCGAAGGGACAGCAAACTTTGACTTTCCATTGATCACGAAGAGTGGACGGCGATTGGATATTCTGCTGAACGCTACGCCAAAGTACGATCATTTCGGCAACATTTGCGGCGCCGTGGGAATTGGCCAGGACATCACCGACAGACGTGCTCAAGAGCAGGAGTACACCCGTTTAATCGATACTGCTAATGCGCCAATCTTCGGGGTGGACGAGAATGGGTGTGTAAATATCTGGAACCGCAAAGCTGCAGGTACGACACAGTACTCGAACGAAGAGGTACTTGGAGTAAACTTGGTCGAAAACTTTATTCCGGAGGATTTCCGGGAGGCAGTGTGGGCAGTGTTATCTGCGGCACTGAAGGGGCAAGAAACCGCCAACTTCGAGTTCCCCCTTAACACCAAGGACGGCCGTCGCGTTGAGATTCTGTTGAACGCCACCCCGCGCTACAATGAGAAGGGCGTCGTGATGGGTGTTGTTGGTATCGGCCAGGATATTACGATTCGTATGGCTCAGGAGAAGGAGACCAATCGCCTTATCCACTCGGCAAATGCTCCGATTTTTGGTGTGGATCAGGACGGACGGGTGAATATTTGGAACCTAAAGGTGGCCGAGATAACCCAGTTCTCGTCTCGAGAAATAATGGGAAAGGATCTGGTAAATCTGTTTGTTGCTGAAGACCACCGCGAATCAGTCGGGTTATTGCTGCGGAAGGCTCTTCAAGGAGAGCAAACTGGTAACTTCGATTTCCCTATTATAACTAAGACTGGGCGGCGAGTCGAAATCCTGCTGAATGCCACCCCTCGATACGACGAGCTGGGGCAGATCTTCGGTGTGATGGGGATCGGCCAAGATATCACGGAACGCATTGCTCAGGAACAGGAGTATATCCGCTTGATTGACACTGCCAACGCCCCGATCTTTGGAGTTGATTCTGACGGTCGAGTGAATATCTGGAACAAGAAGGCTGCAGAGATCATGCAGTACACGACGGATGCAGTAATGGGCGAGAAACTGGTGGAGAAGTACATCACGAAGGACTACCAGGAGGCAGTGAGCAATGTGTTGTCTGAGGCGCTGAATGGTGTGGAGACGGCGAACTTCGAGTTCCCGCTTATCACGAAGGCTGGCCGTCGTGTGGAGATTCTGTTGAATGCCACGCCGCGATACAATGAGCACGGCGCTGTGATCGGCATGGTCGGCATCGGGCAAGACATTACAGACCGTATTGCACAAGAGCAAGAATATTTGAGACTAATCGATACAGCCAACGCTCCGATCTTCGGTGTGGATATCAATGGACGTGTGAACATTTGGAACAGGAAGGCGGCAGAGATCACTCAATACACAAATGCAGAAGTGCTGGGCAAGGATCTAGTTGCCGAATTCATTTCCGAGGAGTATAAGGTGCCTGTGCGTAGCGTGTTGGAGAAGGCTTTCGAGGACGTCGAAACGGCCAATTTTGAGTTCCCATTGATTACGAAGGCCGGCCGTCGTGTGGAAATCTTGCTGAACGCTACTCCTAGATACAATGAACAGGGTGAGGTGATGGGAATGGTGGGAATTGGCCAGGATATCACCGTGCGAATGGCGCAAGAGAAAGAAAAGAACCGGATGATTCACTCGGCCAATGCCCCAATCTTTGGTGTGGATCAGGACGGACTAGTGAACATTTGGAATCTGAAGGTAGCGGAGATAACTCAGTTTTCGTCCGAGGAAGTGATGGGGCAAGATCTGGTGAACCGTTTTGTTGCGGAGGATCACCGCGATGAAGTCAACTTTAACTTGCGAAAAGCTCTTGAAGGAAAGCCAACGGGGAACTTCGATTTTCCTCTCATCACGAAGACTGGACGAAGAGTTGAGATTCTGTTGAATGCCACCCCTCGATACGACGAGCTGGGACAGATCTTCGGTGTAACTGGAATCGGCCAAGATATCACGGAACGTATTGCTCAGGAACAGGAGTATATCCGCTTGATTGACACTGCCAACGCCCCGATCTTTGGAGTTGATTCTGACGGTCGAGTGAATATCTGGAACAA